ATTTTGTTTTGACCCATGGGTAAGTCATGGAGAAATTTTTGGGGCATATAACAGATATTTTCATTTCTTTTAAAAATTGCAGGGAGAGAACATACTTAGAAAAAAGAGAAAAAGAAGGGTGATCTCATTATTTCAGAGCATACAATTTGGGAGTATGCACATTGCATTGTTGATCTTTAATATGTCTAGATCTATACAGATAAGGAAAAGGAGATAAGAAAGGAAAATATTTTTTTAAAACCAGCATGAAATTGGAAAGTGCTTAGGAGACCAAAGTAAGCAAGGAAAATCAGGAGCGAGGTACTGACTATTGTTCATACCAAGAACTCTTGTATTTCCTCCATGGTCGCTCCTAGCCAGATACTTTGATGACCTTTTTTGGCCACTAGAATTACTCTAATAGATGCCATTGACTATGGAAGAGCTACAACACATAGACTCAAAAGCTGCTCCTCCAACATGGCCAGTAAAATAAAATACATATAGAAAGAACAAAATAAATTATCCAAAGAATTTGGTCAGACCACACCTGGAATACTGTGTCCAGTTCTGGGCACTGCATTTTAAGGGAGATGTTGACAAGCTGGAATGTGTCCAGAGAAGGGTGACTAAAATGATCAAGGGACTGGAGAACAAGCCCTGTGAGGAGCAGCTTAAAGAGCTGGGCATATTTAGCCTGTAGAAGAGAAGGCTGAGAGGAGACATGATGACCATGTTTAAATATGTGAGGGGAAGTCATAGGGAGCAGGGAGCAAGCTTGTTTTCTGCTGCCCTGGAAACTAGGACACTGAACAATGGCTTCAAACTACAGGAAAGAAGATTCCACCTGAGCATTAGGAAGAACTTCCTGACTGTGGGAGCTGTTCAGCAGTGGAACTCTCTGCGCTGAAGTGTGGTGGAGGGGTGCTTTGAATTTGATTTCCCTGCTTCTTGGCAGGGGGTTGGACTGGATGGCCCCTGAGGTGTCTTCCAACTCTATGATTCTATGATTCTATGCATGGTATCTAGGAAGAAAGATCCATTTGGCAGCTACGTGCATAAAGAACACAACTAAATTGCTGCTATTTTGTGTTTCCTAAGTTGTAGTTGTCAGACATTATAAAGTTGTTGGATATCTTTGATTTCAATCATGGAATGACTCTAGCAGAGCCTGTAATGTTTCTTTCCTTTTGCAATGGAAGAAGAAACAGATATGGATTCCTGCTGGAAGGCACAGGCAATGAAGAGTTCAGCAGGTTGAAAAGGGAGCTTCTTTTTTCCACCACTGCCAGAGGGCATGCTTTCTGCATGGTGGACCACACGTCCTCTTAATAGGCATGCCATATTATAGTCCTTTCCACTATAAGCTCAAAATCTGTACAACACAGTTTAGATTCACCACATGTGCTTGTTAAACTATATAACTCAACATTAACTTGGGACTTCCCTGCCAACTGCTTTGTGTTTTCTTCTGGCCTAATTATAGAAGACAAAGAGATGTAAAGAGTTGACTTGACCAGATTTCTGGTTCATGTCAGAAAAACAGAGTTGATCCTATATAGCTTGAGGCAAATATCTCAGGAACTGGGCAGGGGTCAGTGCATGGGTGGGTGAGATTAGTGATATTTCAGATTTCCATGTGTTGGAGGACAGGGGTGCATTTGTCACACATCCTCCCTGGTACTCTCAAATAAACATGATGAATTAAGTATGGTGGCAGTCTTGGAAAAAGAGCCTCTGCTGGTCCACTTGCTTTTGTATCTGAAGGAGGAACCCCCTTGTTTTCAAAGGTTAAATATCTTTGGCCATCCTTGCAGGAAAAAAAGTTATAGTTGTAGAAATGTTATTTCTCTGAAAGGACAAAAATATTTTTCAGGAGAGGTGTGCACTGGCTACTCTTCATCAATGCATGGCTCAGTACTGAATGTAGAAATCTTACAGATGACCATCATTGTTGCTGACTGACAGCAATCCTATCATAATGTTTTATTGCTAATATATATTCAGAAGAGCTTAGTCGTTGCCTTCCTCTAAGACTAAGATAATGGCTTGTCCAAGTTCATCCACTGGGTTTCCATGGCTGAGTGCAAATTGTAATCCAAGTCAAAGACTCAAACTTGTATACCAAGTCTCATGACTTGGGAAATAGGTGCCCCCTTCTAAAGAAAATGCAGTCGACTTAACCAAATTAATAGGAAAATTCAGCTCCCGAATAAGATGATAGTAACTGAGCTAGATAGTATCATTCAGGGATGTCTAGTGACTCTGATTTCAGATTAAAATAAATTATTGGCTTTAATCTGATTTTAAAGGAGCTTTCCAAGGTGATGAATTCCACCTCAAAATAAGTTTAGCACAGCATTTCTCAGCCTTGGGGTTGGGACCCTGGGGGGGGGGGTCATGAGGGGGTGTCAGAGGGGTTGCTAAAGACCATCAGAAAACGGAGTATTTTCTGTTGATCATGGAGGTTCTGTGTGGGAAGTTTGGCCTAATTCCATCGTTGGTGGGGTTCCGAATGTTCTTTGATTCTGAGAGTTATAGCTCAGCCCAAACACCAACAACTACAACTCCCAAATGTCGTGGTCTATTTTCCACAAACTCCACCAATATTCACATTAGGTTATGTTGAGTATCGATGCCAAGTTTAGTCTAGATCCACCATTGTTCGAGTCCACAGTGCTCTCTGGATGAAGGTGAACTACAACTCCAAAACTCAAGGTCAATGCCCACCAAACCCTTCTAGTATTTTCTGTTGGTCATGGGGGTTTTGTGTGCCAAGTTTGGTTCAATTCCATCATTGGTGGAGTTCAGAATGCTCTTTGATTGTAGGTGAACTATAAATCCCAGCAACTACAACTCCCAAATGACAAAATCAATCCCCCCCCCCCCCAACCCCACCAGTATTCAAATTTGGGCATATCAGGTATTTGTGCCAAATTTGGTCCAGTGAATGAAAATACATCCTGCATATCAGATATTTACATTACAATTCGTAACAGTAGCACATTTACAGTTATGAAGTAGCATCAAAAATAACTTTATGGAACTGTATTAAGGGGTGGTGGCATTAGGAAGATTGCAGACCACTGGTTTGGGTGCTTTCTCTCTCTCAAAGCATATGGAAGTACTCCCAATTTTATTTCTAAGATAGCCATATGGTCACTATTTATCATGCAGGTGCATGCAGTTCCCACTTGACTTTCTCCTCCACTCCCACTGAGATTCTTGAATTGTTTTGCTTCTGTTTTGATGGAAGAAGACACTGATTGAAATATGATGATATATGGCTCTTTATACTGCATAAGGGAAGAGTAAAAGTGGTTCTGGAGTCACTTGGGATAAAAGAAGGTTATTTTGACAAGACTTTGGGGGTTTTATATATTCCCTCTCTTTGTCAGTAGCTCTGTAAACCTTAGTCGAGAGAAAGTGGGGTATTTACATTTCATTATATCTTTACAAGATTATCATTAGACAGAGGGATATTGCTTTTTCATAATGCTTCCCCCCAGAGATTCAGAGGATGGAGAATCTGAACATGCATCTCACATGTTCAGAACTCAAATATTGTCCTCTGAATTTTTGATAAGGCAGCCTGAAGACAGACAAGAGATTAGAGCAGATGGCTTGTATATTTCAGCGGTTCTCCTTACATCTCTCCTTTCTTGCCAAAATCACTGCGGGCTACTCAGCATTAGCCTCTCAAGGCTTTGTTCTGACAGCATAATGTCCTGTCATATGGAATACTGCCCCAATATCACCTCCCTTTTTCACAATGACAACTTGAAATGGGAAAATATGCCCATACCTATAATTATAGAACACAGCTTGTGGGTCTTGTTGTTTACATCCTTATTTCAGGATGGCTTTGTGTGTGTGTGTCCACTTGTGCACTGTAGAAAAAGCTCATCTCAAAGAAAATATGTTATCCATGAATCACCATAGACAGAAGATGTTGAGATACATTGGATGTTTTATAACTTGTATCAAAATTGTGCCAGTTCTCACCATCATTTTGAGGCTTTGGGTCTTGTTTTCATTCCCCTCCCCCCCAGGCGTCTTGTTTTCCTTTTCCAGTTTACAAGAAGATTAATGAAGCTTCTGACAAAGATGCTTCTTTTTGCAAAGACTTTTTTTTTATACTCAAACACCTCTCCTTTTCCTTCTTGTTCTCTGCTTTGCTGAAAGCAGCACTGGCATAGGGATGAAGAAGAAGGAAGTTTGGGAGAACTCAGGCTTTGGGTTGGGATGAAGCAACTTATCTGTAGTAATAAATGCAAGGAATATTAAGAATAATACTTTATTTTTAACCCGCCCTCTCTCCCCATTGAGACTCATGATCAGGGTGGCTTCCAAAGTAAAAAAAAAAGGCTAACATTCAATGCCAGTATAAAACATAATAGGAAGCTTTTGCTGGGAAAGAATGGGATTCTTCTCTAGCTAACCCAACTGTAGTCCTGGGTGTGCCAGTCTACAACATGCAAAGCAAACAGCTACTGCCTTTACAATCCTTTTTTGAGTGCATGAAGGTCAAAATAAAGAGAACAGCAAAACAGATAACAGTATGTTTTCAAAGGTGTAGAGCTATATATGTTGCCAGCAATATGGCTATGAATAGTACAGAGCACTTTGCATGCAGAATACCCCACATTCAGTCCGTGATATCTCTAAATACAACTGGAGTAATTCCTGCCTGAGACCTTGGAGAGCCACGACCAGTCAATGCACCAGTAGACTAGCTCAATAGTCAGCAGCTTACTATGCTATTTCTATTTTTGAGAAGGAACCAGCAAAGCAAACCCTTCTGTCTCTGCCATATCACATGTAAGAAGCAGTTTCCAGTTTTGTCTTCAGTATGAAATATAATTATTTTTGTACCAAAGCTTGGAAGTTCCTTTTTGGACTACAGTTCCCAGTAGTCATGGTTGTTGAGTGATTGTGAACATTGTAGCTCAAAAACACAACATTTTCAAACCCCATTAGAAGGTATGGTTTGTTATTATCAGATTTCCTTTGTTTTTCAGAAAGCCTGAAGAACAGTCAAGATGAAGTGGAATCTCTTCAAAAAACCTGCCAACCCCGAGCCCATTATAGCTGCTACTACAGGTGGTCCGGCAGCATCCCCAACTACAACAGTGGCACCACCATCACTCTCTACGGACAACTCAACAATATCAGGCCCAGTGGAGAGCAAGGAGGATGTGTTTGCCAAAATTAAAGAGAAGTTCATGAATGAAATAAACAAAATTCCCTGTAAGGAGTACACATTTGTTATTCTGCCCAGGGGATATTTGAATATTGCTTTGTTCATATCTGTAGCATGCAAAGGGATAGTCTGGCATTAAACCTGCTGCTTTGAATCACTCTAATCTTATATCTTTTTGGCAGAAAGTGTAATAATTTCTTGTAGGCAAAAAAAATGTACTTGCGAGACACCATTGTGGGGATGCCCAACTTTCGGATGTAGTATTCTGAAGAAATTAGTGTCGTGGTTTGAATTCAGTATTACAGTTACAGTTTGGTAATCTAGAGTTACAGATTTATATTCAGTGACACTACATAGTCATGATCTTGGCGTTATTCTCACAACTGGAAATATTCCTCCTTAACAGTCAGCAGCCACATCGAGCAAACGAAGTTCAGCTACTGATCAGAGCACAAGGAGGGGATTTCCAACCCCCTCCTACCAGCAAGCATGGTTGCAACAATTGGAAGCAGTATCCCACAATTCCTGGGAGATGAATCTGTAGAAAATGAATGGTTGAGCAAGGAGTTCCATGCAGGTTCAATCAGGATAAAGTACTGAGGTAGAAATTTTTGTGAAACAGGAAGAGGTGTTTTTACATATAGCCTCTGCTATTTGCAGCCAGCTATTTAAGAACTCAGCCAACCAAATTTCTCTGCTGATGGCAACATGTTAAATGCCCTTATCAAAACTTCATGTTCTGACTTCAACATTGGTTGATCCTTCTGGCTTCTTCCTTTGGTTGATGCTCAGCTGGAATATACTGTTATTTCTGACTTGAGCCATGTTGTAAATCAAATTGGCTTCAGCTTCTCAGGGCCCTTCCACACAACCATATAAACCAGAATATCAAGGCAGATAGTACAAAATATCTTTGAACTGGATTATCTGATTCCACATTGCCATATAATCCAGTTAAATGTGGATTTTATACGGCTGTGTGGAAGGGGCTTTAGATACTACCAGTGTGCACCTAATCTGAGACTAGCTCATCTCAATATATGGGAGGTATGGAACATACTGGACAGACACACAACATGACAAGCAGGACTCCTATCACCATTCCTCATTACAGCCTTCTGAGCTGGTGGGAGGAGGCTGGACCTGCCGCCCCACTTGGACCTAGTTAGCAGCTGAACAGACCCCCTTTGCTCAGTGCAGCTTCTGGTGGGCTTGCGGGTGGGAGGTCAAGCAGGAGATGTTCTTTAGTTACATATTCATAACTAAATAGCCTGTGTAGGATAACAGTGAACACCCTAGCTTAATGGGTCTCTTCCTAAAGAGAGAGGGGAATCCATTGGTCTTTGAAGTTGAATCAATGAAAAGTAAGAAAAGAAAGGCGGGGTTGATTAAGATGGTGAGAAAACCCACTCTTTCAGATCTTTTGCAATCATCTTGATTTTAGGGTTTAGGAAGCTGGCTAGAAGGATATTAATTATTTCAGTCTATCAAAATATATACTAGGGAAAGTAATATGTATTTGTAAAGACCTACCACATGTCAAAACGTATGGCTTATGGTCCGAGGTGCATCTGGTGAGCTCAGACAAAGGGGGTGTTGAGGTCATATCACCTAAATGTGGTGTGTGGCAAACTTTCCACAGTTTAAGTAGCCATTGGACCTTATACTTAACTAATGCAAGCTTTAGTCCTCCTATATTGGAGTTCTTAAACTTTAATTTTAAATGGATACTTCTAGTATTAGATGTTTCTTTTTTCAGATAAGCTGCAGCAAAGATGGGGAATGGGATGTAGAAGGGGCCTGGACCAAAAGGCAGAGTAGAAATAATCTTTAAATTAACAGTGTTACCTGCAGTGCAACCTGTAGCTATATTCTCCTCTGTTTTGAGACTGTAGCGATATCATGCTAAGTATTCCCATTTCGTTTTTTACAGTGCCACCATGGGCCCTGATTGCCATTGCTGTAGTAGCCGGGCTGCTGATCCTCACCTGCTGTTTCTGCATCTGCAAGAAATGCTGCTGCAAGAAAAAGAAGAACAAGAAGGACAAAAAAGGGATGAAAAATGCCATGAACATGAAAGACATGAAAGGCCAGGTGAAAACATGCCCGTTTGAAAAATCAGTTGGGAGGCTGTACTTAACACAATTCAAGAAGCACTTATTCTACTGAATATCTGAAGATCAGATCCAGTAGAGTCCATCAGCAAACAGCTGAATTCTTTTCATTCAAAATATAAAAACCCCACCCAAGCTGGGCTCAGCAATGAGATCTAAATGAGGGGTAGCAAATTATGCTATTTCACTTTATATCTGTACTTTATCAGGCCTAGGTTGACCATGCAGGTTTTCCACATCAACTAAGGATAGTTCATGGACAGATGTCAGCTATCTTAAAATAGTTGTGAAAAATCAAATACGTGATTGAAGGGAGGAAAAAAAGGGGGGGGGACGACAAAATGACTGCAGGTTAGAATGATACAGGAAAGAGTAGATATGGATAAAACAAACTGGACCTCACTATAAATATATGCCATGCTGAAACTGCTGTAGGGCAACATGCAACTTAATAATATATGAATAGGTTGACAACGTTACTAACTCCAACAAAACAATATATTTTTTAACCAGGACAGCCAACAAACAGATGGCTATTGATAGTAGAGAGGGCACTTCTGCTCATCCTAAACCTGTTAATTTAGGTGTAATTCTTGTAGAGTTTTTCTTTTGTGAGCCAGCTTGCTATGGCAGATTTAGGATAAAGACAGAAACACCTTAAAGACAGAGTTAAAGATAGAGCATATTTCCAGTGGTACCAAATTAATTTGTTTGGGCCAGTGTAGTCTCTAAGTTGGGAGTATATCAATCTGATCCTTCAGATGCTGTCTGAAAGCCTCGCCAGTCATTCTTCACCTGGAGATTATAGGAATTTTCAGCCAGTAATACTCAGAGGGCCACACATCTGGGCAAACATTTCTGTACGACCAACATCTGTGAAAAAAACAATAGTAAAATAGATTCTTACGAGCAATAATTCCCCTGCCATGACACCTTTAAACTAAAAAAGCCTGTCTTTAGTTGTAATTCCACTGAAGCTAATAGAATTTAACCAATATAACTGGATAAAGCATATATCATGTTGTCATTTATAGTACAGTGTTTGTATATATCCGCATCTAATTTAGAATGCAAGGAAGTATCAGAAAAAAACACCAGATAATCTTGCTAGTTTTTTCTGTCATATACTCTCTCATACACATACACATTCACTGGTAAGAAATGTTATCATGTGGGTAGGTATATATACCATATATTCTTGAGTCTAATGTGCCATCAAATCTAATGTGCACCTCAATTTTCAAAACCCTGAAGCCTAAAAAAACATTTACCATATTAGGCAACTCTAATGCACACACTAAATTTTGGGGAGATGATTTAGATGAGCACTAGAATTGAGTAAATATGGTATTTGATTGACAGATTTTTAGCTATATCTAGCAGCTTTTTAAAAATATGAAAATCACAAGACAGTATGTATAGGAAAATAGAATATGAAGGTACAGATAGGTGCTGCCTCTGCTTTATGATATTGTTTGTGTGTATGTGCCTTCATGTCACCCGTTGACACATGGCAACCCCATAAATTCCAAAGGGCTTTCTTAGACTACCTCAAAGTAGTTATGCCAGTTTCTTCCTGTGAAATACAGCCTGCAGCATCTTGGAGTCATTGGCAGTCTCCCATCCAAGTACTAGCCTAACCTGACCTTGCTTAGCTTTGAAGAGGTGATTTAGAATTTGCTTTATTTCAAACACTGGTTGAATATATCAGGAAATTATTTCAGGCAAGTGCCAGTTAAAACTAATGGAAGCCACACAGGTTTAGGGTAGTGAATAATATTGTACTTCAAGATGAGGAAGCTGCTCATATGGTTATACCAGCACTGTAGCATTTTTGTTAGATTCTCCTATCAACCTAATCCACATCCTACATTGTATCTAGAATCATCAGAAGGTTGGCATCCCATACCTGTGCTCTTTCAATAACAATGATGTCAAATCCTAATATATCTAAATCATGGAGATTATAGCATCATAGAGTTGAAAGAGACCACAAGACTCATCCAGTCGAATCCCCTTCCATGGAGGATACATTGAAGGCCATGAAAAGCATAAGAACAGGGTGAAATCACAGAGTTGACCAGATTTTTTGTACTGCAACTCCCAACATTCCTGACAAATACATATACCAGCTAGAGATGACAAGATTTGCCGTTCAATGAAGGTCTACAGTGCCATATTATCCTCACATTAATTGGGAGCATTGGAGGTTCTGTGTGGGAATGGTTCCTGGAAGTAGCATATTGAAAACAGACTGGAAATCCAAAACTATAACATATATTTGGCATGGTATCTCAACTCAGCAACCCATCTCAGTAATCCCACCTTTTTACTGCTCAGGTTTATATGGTTTATATTGTTTGCTTTACTGTCAGCAATCAAACTAACTCAGCAGCAAATCCCATTTGCATTAAAGTCAGACAAACGTGTGAAACTCTGGATGGTTTGATGAGCTCTAAATTCTTCTCCCATTTTGGGGCTTTTGATTTGGTAACTTAAGCAGGAGGCTGGGAAATGGGACTTTTATAGCCCATATTGCAAGAAGCATATCTGGGTGTTAATGAGCCCATTTGCATGGGGTGTTTTAATGAAGCTTAGCTCAGGATTGCCAAATCATTTGGATCCCATTGTTGTGTGCACAGTTACTACAGAAAAACCGAGTTAGAATTATGCCTCATACTTGTGCCAAGTCTCTTGCTAAAGGCTCCCAACAGAAGGTGGGTGTCATCCTTTAGAACCATAGTTCAAAAAGACCTTGAAAGTTATCTAGTCCCCCACAGCTTTCAAACTTTTTCGAGTACAGTTTCCAGGGTACACCACTTAAAATGGGACATGTGGAGTCTGAGGGCCCAATCACACTAAGCAATAACAGCACTTTGATTTCATTTTAACTGCCATAGTTCCATCATATATAATCCTGAAGTTTGTAGTTTGGGAAGTGCTAGAGAAAATAATAGTAAATACCCCTTCCTAAACCTGTAGCCCTAGGACTTCATAAAAAGGCATCAGTAGAATAATTAGGGTATAGCTAGAGAGGCCCTGAGAATTGTACTCTAAAAGAGTTAACTTTTCAAAACTGAACCTCCTGCTCAGTGCAGGCTATGCAATGCAGAGTACGGCTGTAGTTTTCCTGACAGTATTCCTCTGCTTAAATTATCTCCGGTGGAATGGAAACTATGAACCAATGAGGCAGTTTGTTCTACTGTCAAATAGATCTCACTCATAAATGCAGGCCCTGTCTGACTTTTACCTGAGGTGTCCAAAAGCCTTAAAATAAAATCAAAACTTACCAGGTCATCATACCTCCTCTCTGGCTGCCCTCCTGGTGTATAGAAATGATGCACCAGGAGGTGAGGGAATGCGAGGAGGAATATCATCCCCCCCCCCATCCACCCATCATTTCTAAGGACCAGGAGGGCTGCCAGAGAGCAAGCATGGTGGCCTGGTAAGTTTTTATTTTACTTTAAGCCTTGGGGGGGTGGGGGGATGGCCCCAATCAAGGAAAGCCCCCTGGAAAAGGCTGGGTTTTTCTTCAGGTGTGATGACTTAAACTCGCTTCGGAGTGGGTTTAAGCCCTGTCTGGAAGCACCCAGATTCAAATCTTGGGCTCCCAGTGTCCTAGTCCAGCCCTCAAACCACAACCTCTCTTCCCCATTATTGCTTCTTCAAACCACACTGGCTCTCTTCGCCATTATTTCTGCCAATACCTTTCAGGTATTTGGAGGCTCTCCTTCCATAGTCCTCTGTTCATCAGACTAGATGCATCCTGGATTCACATCTTTTGAGGAGGATCAATGAAAATTGTTATTTTTTATTTAAGAGCTGGATGATAGCTGATTATATTCCATGAATAATTGCAACACTGCTATAGTGTATAAATAAAACTCATGAATTAGTGTGACATTATTCAATTGATTAAATAACCTGGAATAAGAGATGGACCAGGTCAGAGAAAGCAGACTATTTCCTGGGGTTAATATAGAGCTAACTGACCAATTGCTTGTGAGGTCGGCACTTGCATAGTTTCTTAAATATTGCAAATAATGTCCATTTCTCTGCATGGAAATTTAGTCAACATTCAGTGAAACTATAGTGTGAGAATCAGCCCCTGAATTTTATTAAATCCGCCTTCCCATCACTTCCCCATAGTAATTAATACAAGCAAAGACTTAGATAAGTATTAATTACAATATCAAGGTTTTTCAGAAAGGAAACCTAGATTAAATATTGGTGTGAGATGCCTAAATGCCATTTAAATTAATTGACTGAGACATATATACATGCTGAGACATGCTTCCCCAGTAAACATGAAAATCATTGAAAAAGCACTATGACATGGAATGAATTTGATCATAAAATCTATACTGAGGGTGTATCTACAGTACCCTGTAGAATTAATGCATTTTGTTGTTGTTGTTGTTTATTTGTTTAGTTGCTTCTGACTTTTTGTGACCTCATGGACCAGCCCACACCAGAGCTTCATAGTCAAGCCAGTCACTTCAAGGATACCCTCAATCTATCTTGCCCTTAATGCAGCTTGCACCACTTTAATTGTTATGGCTCATTGCTGTGGAATCATGGGAGCTGCAGTTTGGTGAGCACCAACACTCTTTGTCAGAGAAGGCTAAAGACCCTATAAAACTACAATTTCCATGATCTCATAGCACAGAGTCATGGCAATTTAATTGAGGTCAAGCTGCATTAATTGTAGAGTAGAGATGCACCCTGAGTCTCCAAACACAATCCTATGTAAGAAATTGGTGTTCACTTTTGGAAGAAATGGCTGGACTAGACCCTGAACAAATAGACATAGAAAAATAAGCAAGGTACTTGAGTTTGAGTGTTGGACTATGACTCTGCAGAGCGGGATTCAGATCTCCACTCAGCCATGGAAACCATCTGAATGACCCTGAGCATGCTACACTTTCTGAGCTTCAGAGGAGGCAAAGGCAAGCACTCTCTGAACAAATATTGCCAATAAAACCCCAGTATATGTTTGCCTTCAGGTCTTCAGAAATAAGAATAATTTGATGGCACACTACTGCAGGGGAAATAGATCCCTGTTTATTGATTTCCCTGGCTTTGCTGATCTGCCACTTTCAGCCAAAGGAAGAGTGCCAAAAGCAAGAGACAGTATAGCAGTTTTTTTGTCCTCTCTGTGGACCTCTGGAAACAGAAGATAACACCCAGATAAATCTTTAAAACAGCTGTGTGTCCTTTTGTTGCACTTCATTATTTGTTTGTTGTTGTTGTTCATAAAAGGTCCTTTCTAATAGCAGACACAAATGTTCTGTCCTTGAGTCATTGACCTTATTGAAAGTCGTGTTTACTATCGCTCTCTTTCTCTCTCAATTTTTCTTTTCCTCTATGTATTTCTGTGCTTTTTGTTTCCTGAGAAACACAGGTCTAGTAGTTACCTTCTGTCAAGACATTTAACTATTGAAAGTGGAGATGACATTGGCCGATTTAAAATATATAGACAATATGGCAAATTAACTTTTGGGACCAAGTGGGTTGCATAATTCTCTAAGCAGAATTACAAGGAGCGCAAGACACATTGCCTTCTCAGGGCCATAGTATACATTCTATAACAAGCATCCTTTGACTAGCCTTTCCTATTTTCCACAAATAACACCTGCAAGGTCAAATAGCAGCCAGAGGAGCAATGTTGTTTTAGCTGTTTTTAATGGGCCTCAACATAATCTATACTATATTGGCAGCATAATCCATGCCAGAACCCTACACAACTACTTTTCCTTCAGAGCAGAAATTGCTAGCTTCCACAACATCTTTTTAAAAAACATGCTTATTCTAATATGCTGTTCATCCCCCCAAGTGAATGTCTTGCAATCAATATCTTTTTGATCCATCCATGCATTGTGCAACTTTGAAGGTGTGGAATCTGTGGTTTCTCAGGAGCATGTGGTGTTGTTGATGATTTGTGTAGTTTTTGCCTCTATAATGCCCTTCTCTTCCTTTTCTGTATTCTCCTCGTCCTCCTTCTGTGTTGTTCTGTCTCCATCTTTTCTGACTAACCTGGATGTCAACTCACGGTAGGTCTCAATGCAAACTTCCCTTCCCTTTTATACATAAAAGGGAAAGGTGAAGAGGGCTTATCTGATACAATACTTCCATGCTTAGACTTTGCTTAGATAACTTCATCAAAACCTGGTATTGAACTTGATTTGGGAAAAGAGAAATACATTTTTCTTTCAATTCTGGAGATTAAATTTCACATCTGTTCCTGAAAAGCTCCTTAGCTAAGTCCAAATCTGGTTTCATTTTAACCTAAGTGGATCAAATCCTTGTCAGATAACTTCTCATCTCATAATAAACATCAAATGAGTTTGTTGATGAATGGCTTTCTTTGTCAAGTTTACAAGGTCTAAGTATGATCAGTGAACCCTCCCTCCAAAATGTTCTTTGCATGCATTTGTGAGATAACACTAAGGAAGGAACCATTTAGAGAAGGTAAGCCGATGGTTCTTCAGCCAACATTTAATTTTAAATGCTTGAGGGAAAACCACAAGTAGGTCCTTGTTTGGGGAGGGTGTCTGTGAATGTATGAATGTTCAGAGGTTCTAATTTGCTTTATAAGGAAGAAAACGTTGATGTTAGCTAAGGCCCATTTCTTTTATTCCCTACTCTTTCAAACAGTGAATACTACTAGTAATAATTCTATTACCTTACAGCAGGCATGGGCAAACTTTTTTGCCTTGTGGGTGCATTGCGGGCCTGGCTGGGAGGGATGGGGGGGGGGGTCAGGCACACATTGGATGTGAGTGGCCCAGGAGAGGTCGGGGCCTGGAGAGGGCAGTGCTCGGGTCATCCTCAGTTTGTCCTCCCAGCATAAGGACCAGGCTGCTCGCTCCATCCTTATGCCGGTGAATGCCCCGATCTTCCCATCCTCCTCCCTCGATCCTCGGGCTGTCCTCTTGGCATTATGCTGGGAGAGCAAGACASGTGGTAGCTAAGAGTGCTCTGTAGGGCTCTCAGCCTCTGTGTGCCTTCGTCAAGATGTACTCCTGGCATAAGTATGAGGCTGCCCACACCCTCCTTATGCCGGGCTGAGAGTGATCCAGAGGTCTCTCTGCTGCTATTTGCCTTCCTCCCTGCAAGAGGACAGGGAAAATGAGGAGGGCCTGAGGTAAGCACCCAGGGGACCACATCTGGCACCCAGGCCTTAGTTTGCCCATGCCTACCCCACAGCCTCTGTATATCCACACCTGTACATCTACACTACTGATCTCTCTGTGAGTTGGCAGAGACGATAATTGATAGCTGCAAGTCCCACCTTGGTATTTACATAGTTTAGGCATAAAATGTGCTTAAGCATCCTTTCTTTCGTTAACTGTACCAGTGTGCCCCACCTATACTTTTCACTAAGTCTACCAGCCTACTGATAGAAGACAATTCTCTCTCTCTCTCTTCTTTTTCTTCTTCTTCTTCTTCTCTCTTTGTCTGTCCATCTCTCTCTCTCTCTATCTTTATATATATATATATAAGAAAATATGACTTCATCCTGTTTTTAAATTGGGAGAGTCCTTTTATTAGTAAATGCCAATGAACAGATCCAGTCATCCTTCTCCTTAATATATTACCCCTCCTGAAGTAAATCCTCCTAAAGCTAGATATATGAAATCTGTTCTAAAATGTGGCCTTCAGATGTTGTTGGCTGCATCTTCTGGCATTCTTTGCTATTGGCTGGGAGCTGCACTTCAACAACTTCTGGAAGATCACATGTTTTCCATCCCTGCATTAAGATAAGGATATGGAAGAAAGATAATGTGTGAAAGGGGAACTTAGGCTTTCAGTATGTGATATCACTTTGCACAACATTGTGGTCTTCCTTGTCTTTCAGGACAAACAGGATGATGATGATGATGACGGAGATGGTGATGAAGAGGGAGGGGAAGAAGAGGAGGAAAAAGAGCCAGAGAACCTGGGGAAGTTGCAGTTTTCTCTAGACTACGATTTCCAAGCTAATCAGGTAAGTTGCCTTAAACCAGTTGTGGGCAACTGCATTTGAACCAGAACCAATTGCTTCTCCTACAGGAACTCTCCCTTCCACCACCTCTGGGCACAAAGACTACAAGCTCAAATACCTCTATTTTCCTCTGCAGGTTCTTTCAAAATAGTGACAGGAAGTGATGCTACATACTGCTGTCAAAATTTTGAGATAAAATGCAGAGGAAAACCTTGGTATTTGGCATTAGCACATAGTTGTCTGGTACTTGTGGGGTGGGTATTTTCACATGTTTTACACATTTGGGGAATTTATGTGTGGTTTTGGAGCAAACAGTACCTGTAAATTATGCAATAATGTACTTTCTTAAAAATGGGAAGAACATGGCGGGCTTTAAGTTAATGTTGGAGGGCTTCAGGGGCCACAATAATGAGATCCAGGGATTGCATATGGCCCTTTGTCCATGCTGTGCCCATCCCACCTTAAATGTAACTATAGCAGGAGAAAAATTATGACAGTAACTGATTTCTACTAGTTTTAGAAAACTACATCAATTTTAAAGATACTTCAATTCCCCAACATCTTGGCTTTTGTCTTTTGAAAAAACAACCCTCATAAGCTCTCAAAAAGGAGTTTGAAGTTGCTTTTGATTCTCGGCCGAGCTGCAGTGTAGCTTCACAATTGCCAATTGAGGGCATAGGCCGACAAAGGTTTGAAGTATACAAGGCAAAATGAAAAACAAAACAAAAAACCATGGTCAGAGGTAGAATGGCCTGAGGGTCCGGTTTTGGATCCAAAGAAACAAGATGACTGTGAAAGATCAGCAAAAAACTGACTGTGTACTTTGTTTACAGACATATCTAGATGAATAGTGTCAACAATGACAACAATTCTATAACAAATTGCAAACTTAAAGCTTTCAGTTGTTGTTTTGAAGTCACTGCCCTCTTGTCCATGCTTACCCACCAAAACCAAATCAATGTTCCATCCTCATCTCCACAGTTCAATATCAAGGGTGAAACAACATGCCAGCGAGTAGTCATGATTCAGGGGCAAAGTATATGCTTGAAAAATGTATGGCCCAGTTATCAGTCCCTAATATTTTTACTTAGAAAGACTGATTTAGAAGGAGTTAGAAGGACTAAGTAACAATTATTCCTGCCAGAGCTCACAAAGAACAGTTTCCAGTCAGAATAAGTAGCTCATGTGGGGCAGGAATCTTGGGGCAGGGGAAGCCTTAACAACAAATAAGCAAGATTACCTCTGGTCAAAATGACCCTATTTCCCTTAGATAGTGTTTCGGGAAATTTAGGGGCAAGTTTTTTGGGGGGTATTTGGTGAAGGGTGCAGTCTAGTCTCCCACAGATGTCCACACCCAGGCTAGATGGATGAATAGTTTCAGCCCTTTAAGGAGCCATCCAATTATAACAGCTTTGCTTGTATATTTTAAAACTGTGGTTGGCATAAGCCATGGTCTGTCATATTGTCTGAATGTCCTTATCCCACCATTAATCAATATGTGATATTGTAGAGCTTTTTTGATTCCTGATACCTGTTTTCCCTTGATAGCTTACTGTAGGAATCCTCCAAGCAGCTGAGCTCCCAGCGTTGGATATGGGTGGCACTTCAGACCCTTATGTCAAAGTTTTCCTGCTTCCAGACAAGAAGAAGAAGTATGAAACCAAAGTGCAGAAGAAGACCCTCAATCCAACCTACAATGAGACATTTGTCTTCAAGGTTAGTCTCCAACCTAGGCATTCTCTGCAGCAGATGAATTACACGCAGACTTAGCTAAACATTGGTACAGTTATGTTTGCTCTCAAAAGTATAGATGCTTCAGCAACCAGTGTCTAGTATCAATTATAAATGGAACTTTAATCCAGAACAGGAAACCTGGAGATTTCAAGAGTTATGGTACACCAGGGCCCCCTGGTGTACTTTTTTGAACCAACCTACACCCCTCCCTCCCTTGCTAAATATTTTATTCCATCTATCCATTACAGAAATGTTCAAAATAGTTTAAGCAACATATCGAAACAGCATGTTTATAAAACAGATGACTGGCTTTTATTAAGCAAATGCTTTATTAAATATGAATTTTAAAGGTCTTTTACAAAGGATATTTCATTCTATGTCATTTAGTAAATTCTCACAAGACCATTACAACAGCCTTTTTTGTAGCTCTTTCTAGTGTGCTCAAATGACTGCTGAATTCTCATCTTTCTCTGTTACAGATTCCTTATCAGGAGCTGGGTGGGAAGACCTTGGTGATGGCCATCTATGACTTTGACCGCTTCTCCAAGCATGACATCATAGGAGAAGTCAAAGTGCCCATGAACACAGTGGACCTGGGGCAGCCCATTGAAGAATGGAGGGATCTCGAGAGTGCAGAAAAAGAGGAGGTAGGAATTCAAAATGAAGGAGATGCAAAGGAGGAAATGGGGCGGTTATCTTATGCTATTCTTTGGTCCTGCCTTGTTTTTTTGTTTTGTTTTGGGGTTCCCACTTTGAAAATGTAGGTAAGAATATGAAGTATACAGAGCTCTAAAATGTGAGTTTTGGCAAATGTCCTGAAGCCTTTTATACAAAGAAAATCAGGTATCCCCTGCATGGGTAAATTTAGAATGATAAGATCCCTTTCAAATTGTATTTTGTGAACAGTGTCTTCAGTATCTAACTGATCTGCTCCTTCGCAGTCTTCTGCCAAGCTGCCTCCAGAAGACACCACTTGGTTTGTTAGTATCAATTGGCTGAAAAATTATTAGTATTATCCACAGGTGGAACTTGTGTATTCTGGGGACTGCATGCAGCCTACTAATACTTTTGGGCAGTCCCAGAAGTTCCCCATTATCAGTGAAAAATAATGAACCCAAATGGGAAATTATTGCATATATTCTATATTGAGCAGCTGATGCATAAGTCTCCACCGGTGCAATGATGTGTCCTCTCCACTTGCCCTGGCAGCTGTCAGGCTCAGGGAGGGGCTGCTGTTGCTGCTTCTACTTACTAGTAGAGAGGGAAGGGGAGGGGAAAGTAATTCAGATGAAGAAGAAGCTGCTGGTCTTGGATCTGAGGGGGAATGAAATTAGGATGTGCTCACATCCAGTTGCTTCCCCTCTGCCTATTCTCCTTACCAGTGAGCAGCAACAGCCTCCTCCCAGGGCTTGACAGCTGCCAGGGAAACATTTTGGACTGACTGCAAAGAACTTAGAGAAGCTGCTGGGATGTGTTTTGTGCAAGGACAGGCTCCATCCCCCCAAAAAGACCTACACAAGAGCAAGCCATATCAATATGCACATATAACACCAACAGGATGCCACACTATACCTCCAGATGTCACTGCAGTTTTTGATGCCCAGCCTGTTCTAAAACCCATTTTCCCCCATTGGTGGGATTGTACACTGGATTTAAAATTCAGTACTGAATTTATAAAATATGTCACCTGTTGACATATTTTATAGGAGTTTCTTGGGCAAAGAATCCTCAAAAGTGGTTTTCGCAGTTCCTTCCTCTGAAATATAGCCTACAGTAGCTGTTATTAGGGCTGGGCGGTTTCATTTCGTTAATTCGTAATTCGTTAATAATTCGTTAATTTTTTCAATTACAAAATGATAACGAACCATTCTGGAGCAATTATTAAAAAAAACGAATTTTCAAAAAAGTTTTGTAAATGCTTCGTATTTCAATATTGTATTCATTTCGTTATTGTTTTGAGGTCGTTTCGTTATTATTCCCGCATGTCTGGGCCAGTTTTATGGTTTAATTAGTGAAAAAAAATTATAATATCACACCAACAGTCAACAACAGAGGGAGAGGGAAGCTTCAGAAGGTTTTGGAGGTTTTTTAGCGTATTTCGCGGTCGCGTCCGCCATTAACAAATCGATTCGTTATTGTTTCGGAAATCGATTCGTTAATTTTTTACCATTTACGAAATTTCATAAATATCGAACTTTTTAAAAGGAAAATTTTGTAATTATTTTAAATATCGAAACAAAAAAACCCCCCAAATACAAATCGATTTTAGAAACAAATTTTTCCGTTGTTACCCAGGCCTGGCTGTTATGTATTGGTAATCTCCCATCCAAGTACTCACCAGGATTGGCCTCACTTAATATCCAAGAGCACATGAGCTCTGGTGCCTTTAAGGAACTTGGGCAACTGAGAAAAGAGAAGTCAGATCCTTGCCCCAAGTTGGAAGTACACATGAGAAGAGCTCCATGTGCTATGAACTCAATGAACCTTTGACAGTTCGAGATTGACCATGCCCTCCACCTGCTTGCCTCTTTGCTTCTTACACTTGCTCCCTTCTCATTGCCCAGCTGGGACATCCTATAACCTGATGCTGAAATTTGGGAGGAAGATCTAGCACAAAGCATTTTATTTTCCTAGCAGAGGAGGTGGTAGAAGTGATAACAGAGACAGCATTCAGTTCACTGGTCTGTCTCCTTCAATCCAGTACCCTCTAGACTGCAGTTCTCACAATCCCCAGCCAGCATAGCCAATGACCAATTGCCAAGTTATTTGTAAGCCAGAGATGTTGTACTCCAATATATATCAAGGATATCACCCCAGAAAAGGCTGTGCTAGCAATTTCTATGCAACTCACAGGGCAATATGAATAGCCACACTCTAGCAAGCATATCTTCAAATTTAGATTTGTAAGATTGCTTATAAATTCTCGAGTCCATTGCTATCTCTATTTCTCTCCACAGCCAGAGAAATTGGGAGACATTTGTATCTCATTACGATATGTGCCTACAGCTGGGAAGCTTACAGTCTGTATCTTGGAGGCCAAGAACTTGAAAAAGATGGATGTTGGAGGACTTTCAGGTGGGTGCAGAACAACCTTATACCCACCAGATGTCACCTCTGAGCTTATACAAAAGATTTATCAAAAGATTTCATATACTAGAACACAGAGCAGTTCTTGCTTTTCATCCTTTTCATGTGAATGTTCAGTCTATGCTCCTCTAAATGCTCCTGTGTTGAATCACTTTGGATTTTAGGGTGAACCTTATGGGTACTAGCCAGAGTGCTGAATGTGACACTCACAAAGCCTATTTGGCTAATCTACTGAGCTTCAAATGAGCTATCCAAGGTGCTGTTGAACCCCATCATAAAGATAAGATTATAGTTTAGGTAACTCCTTTAAAATTGAGACTAAAACCTGGAATGGATTTATCTCATGTTATAGGAAATGAGAATAGCAATTTGCCACTGATGAGTACAAAAAAGCAATCAGCCATCATTAGAAATTCTCCGCTTTATAATCTTGATGGGCAGCAACTAGAATTCAAGGACAACCGAGCAATGAATGTGGGGTTAAGTCAGGCATGGTCAAACTTGGACCTTCCAGGTGTTTTGGACTTCAGCTCCCACAATTCCTGGTCTCAGGCCCTTTCCAGGAAGGGTCCTGAAGCCAGGAATTGTGGGAGTTCAAGTACAAAACATCTGGAAGGCCCAAGTTTGACCATGCCTGGGCTAAGTCAAAAGAAGATAGTGTGGCAAAGCCATCTGTCAGATTCCAGAAGTTCTCCCATTGAGGTGATTAGAATACTATGTATTGTCTCCTGGTAAAACTTCATCTGCTGGAGGAATGATCTTGCTTCCTTTGGGTTTGGGATAAAAAGCCTCTATTGACTCAAATATCCAACTGCATTACAAATGCCTGTCGTTGCTTTTTCCTCCTACATGAAGGTTAATGTCAGGGAAGTATGTCTCAGCAGCTTGTGTGAGAATGCCATTAGGACTTCTCCAATGTCCAAAGGGTACAACCCATGTAGCTTCTGTGCAATAGTTCTAGTAGTAGGCTGGAGGAAAAATATACTTGCTAAGCAATTTGTCATTGACCCATAAGACAGTCCACTGCTTCAGATTTGTCAGAAAAAGTAGTAAGAGAGAATAATTCATCTGTAAACCCACTTGGATTTTGTACATGGAATTGAAGAAATGGGTTACCATTTAGTTCTACATGTCAGTCAACTACATGACACGGTCCAGTTTAGACAGCAAAGACCAGTGCTGGTTGCCAACATCTCAATTTAAAGAAAGACGAGAAATGAAGTGATGGTTAAATATGAAAATAGCTGTTACTCTTAGTAGCAACCCAATTGAGGGCAGCTTCCTGAACTGGCTATAGAGTGCTGGATGTTGTAGTCACAAAATGTAATCTTTCCAAGCTCTGATTCCTATCAACATTAGACTGCAGTATTGTGGGCATTGTTGTGACACCAAGTGCTGCACTAGAGGATTTTTTTTCTTCATATCCACAAAAGAGATCACTAGGAATAAACAAAATAAGTATTTAATGTCATCATATACATTCCCTTGGGCAGCTTCTCTGCCATCATTTTCTTACTGTGTTTTATTTATACATTCATGGGATCTTCAAAGGTCTGAGCTTTGGGAGGAAGGAGTGGTTGTTCTATTTCAGGAGATGCCTATAATATTCTGAAATTTAACAGTCTGAATAAATTAAAAAGACATATGTCAGCACTACTGTCAGTGACCAAATTACTTTGTGAAATATCCTTTTGGGAGTGTGAGCAGCTTGAGCTACATTTCAGAGCAAATGAATTGTGTGGCCAGTGACGTGCATATAGCCTTTTGTGACGGGTCCTTGTCCTTAGCCCCCTGAGACTTTGAAACACTTCTACACACACCATCACAAACATTGCTAAACTCCTAGTTGTTCAGCCCAAAATAGCACAGTACAGCTATGTTTTTCTAAAATAACATTATGAGGATGGTGTTAGAGTTGAAACAACAATAAATATAATAAAATAAATGGCCCCAAATTCACTTACATGCCATGAATAGTCATGCAACTTCTGTTTGTTCAAAATGGCAGCCGCAGACTGCAAGGGCCAATGAGGTACTGATATTGATCATCCCAACATCAAGCACATGCTTGCCACTACTTTTTTTTTTAAAAAAAAATGTGCAACTGCCAGTAGCAGCAATAATCCTGCATTTCCTTTTCCTCTCTCTCTCTCATGTTATATAAGACATATTTTTAATATGATTGTAATCACAACATCATGTCATTGAGAGTTTCTGTCCCTTCCAAAGAACAGTTAAATAAATAAAACAAGATGAAATCTGCAAGACAATTGGGTCACATTAGATGTTTTGTTGTTCAGTTTTAGTTCTGAATTATTTCTCTGGAACGGGACTTAGAGCACATTTTAGTCCTTTGACTGAAGGGGGTAGATCCAAAAGGTAGTACTGGGGAATCAGAACTTAATCAACATAAAATGGCAATATGAAAATTGCTTCATTCAGCTTCCTGCACAACATTGATGTAGTTTTCATCAGTGGCACCAATGTATTAGAGGAGAGTTGGGAATTGTATGGCTCTCTCGAAAAATGTTGGACTGCAATTCCCATAGACTTTAGACATCATGGGAAATAATGAAAAACGCGGGGAGTTGCAATTCAATTGTCTTTGGAAGACTACATAACTCCCACCTCTGTGTTAGAAAACTACAAATCATACCTTCCAATGCTTGTTGTTTGCTAGTTCTGTTTTCCTCTTTTACATAAATGAATGGCTTTTTTTTGCAAAGAAAAAAGTCTTATCTGAACTGCCAGCTATTTGTGCAGCAAAACACTAACAAATATTTGGAGTGCTTTAGTTTGGCTCCAAGTGGGTCATTTACTACTGTTTATTGTGGGCAAATTAAAGGCACATCAGGAGGAAGGAAGACAAAGTTTTCATCATTAGAGGAGCAGTATCAATACAGGGCATGTCACTTTATAGTTCAGTGGCTCTTCTTCCTTGATATTTTCCTTCCCCGTACCCATTTCTTTAAGCCTATGTTTCTGAGTGTTTGTCTATAAAGTCTGACCTGCTTGGATTTCCTACTCAGATCCTTATGTGAAGATTCACCTGCTGCAGAATGGGAAGAGGCTCAAGAAGAAGAAGACAACAGTCAAGAAGAAGACCCTGAATCCCTATTTCAATGAATCTTTCAGCTTTGAGATTCCCTTTGAACAGATACAGGTTAATATGTTTTTCACTTGGGGAACTTTGACAGAGGGAGATGCAGAGGGGTCCCAGATCACTTTGCTTATCTGTGAGGTGATAAGGTTCTCCATTATTTTGACCATAACCTGGGACCTCCTATGATCTAAAGATTTTATGTTTTTCTTTCTCAATTTTAACTCCCTACACCACTCACATTGCCCTCTTCTCATTCCACCTCTCCTTGTTTTTGTGCAACACTAAGGTTTCCTTTGGAACTATGTTGGATGTTAGAAGTAATTTTGTGAAGGCTACAAGTGAGGAAGGGCTGGTTAACCTCCATGCTGCCCTATCCTGCTCACTTGACAAAAATATAAAAGTTTCATTGGTGTCTGTGGGATGTTTTTAATTGGTGGGCTGGCCTGAGGAGGGATGAGGGGGCTGTTGATTGGATGAATCCCATAAGTCAACCCTCATTTCAAATTGTGGAGATTTCATAACGTAAAGAACCTACTCCCACCTCATGCTATGTGAACTTTGTACGAATCCCAATGTTCATGTGTGCTACCCACAGAATGGTAAGCAGTTTTATTCACAATCAGCAGGTAGATGATACATAATACAGTGTCGTTATACATGTTGAAGGATCCCAGAACCTGAACATCATTGGTAAAGTTTTTTCATGGACATTTTGGTTAGTAAAGTTTACAGATGTGGGCTTGAAAATGAAGACACACATTTTGGACCTTGCAATGTGTCAAAGAATTTCCCTGTCGTTTAGAAAACAATCAAACATACATTGTCATACATGTAGGCTAACACAGAATTGCGGCCTGATGATTGCATAAAGTGGCCTCTAGGCTTTCTGATTTCTGCTACACAGCTACTGTTGTTCTCATGTAATTTCAAGTTGTTTCTGATTCATAGTGACCCTAAAATGATTCCATCACAGGGTTTTAAAACAAAGATTTGTTCAGAAAGGGTTTTCCATTGTTTTCTGCTAAGGTTGAGAAAGTGCGACTTACCCAAGATCACCCAATGGGTTAACATGCTGAACAGGGATTAGAGTCGTGGTCCCCCAGAGTCCTCGTACAAACCACTACACTATTATATATCTGCTAGATAATCACTATTATGCATATAATCTGATACCAGTTAAATGTAAATATAGTTAGATATATTGAGAGCCACCATGGTATAGTGGTTTTAAGTGTTGATCTAGGCTACTTGGAGACCAGGTGAATCCTGTGATAGGATTGTGTTAGGTCTGCCATAAGTCAAAAATGTTTTGTAATGTTTTTAGCGGTCCATTCCTATTGTCTCTAGCCATTGGCAATGCTGGATGGAGCTGGAGCACTGAGACATCTGGAGGGCTACCGGTTCTCCACCCCATCTTTATTTTCTAACTAGCTTAGGCACTCAATGATGCCTGGGTTAGGCAATATGTAATGCTATTTATTGGAAAAAGTCAGTATTTGCTTTTGTTTTTTATGAATGCACCCATTAGAAAATGTATAAGAATGTTGGCTAACTACAACTCCCAGATTCTAAGATAAATCACCCCCAACCCCTACATGCATTCAAAGTTGCCCATGTTGGGTCTGTGTGCCAAGTTAGGTCCAGATCCATCATTGGCTGGATTCAGTGCTCTCTGGATGTAGGGAACCACAACTCTCCAAAATCAAGGTAAATCCCCCTCCCACCAAAAAAAAAACCCTCTAGTATTTTCTGTTGGTCATGGGGGTTCTGTGTGCCAAATCTGGCAATCCATCATCGGTGGGAGTTACAGTAGTCTCTGAAATCCAATAGGAAATAGGCCACAAACATACTTTCCCACATACATGAATACGTACATACACACACATATTCACTTTTGATAGATGATAGATAGATAGATAGATAGATAGATAGATAGATAGATAGATAGAGATAGACAGACATGAGTGTTTATCATAGTTGTATTAAAAACAACTTTGAAATATTAATTGCACAATTACAATTGAATTGAAGTGGTATTTTAAATGACTTTTTGACCAGTGAGTTGATCTAAACAATGTAACCCAAATCTACCTTGCATAGGAATCACTTTTGTAAATGGCTGGTGTGGAGACCGGCCTCTGTGTATTCCTATGTGCATCATCTCACATAAACCACAAATCATTTTTGACTCACATGACATTTCTTTCAAAATGCATTTTTAGTCACCATAGTCTCACTGTTCTTTGTCAATTAATCCCAAGCATCTCTTTAGTGAGGAAAGAGTGAGATATCCATTTAATATTTAAAAAGTCATATCAGTAATGAGAACAACATTCATATTTATTTGTAACCTGCCCTTTCCCAATTAATATAATAATGTTGTGTTAATTAAAATAGCATTGCTGTATCACCCTTAATAATACTTTCTGTCTTCTTGCTTCTCCTTCAGAAAGTGCAAGTTGTGATTACTGTGCTGGATTATGACAAGCTGGGAAAGAATGAAGCCATTGGCAAAGTATTTGTCGGGAACAAGTCCACTGGCACAGAGCTCAGGCATTGGTCCGACATGTTGGCCAACCCACGCCGCCCCATTGCTCAGTGGCATTCCCTGAAGCCTGAAGAAGAGGTGGACGCAGCTCTTGGGAAAAATAAGTAGGCAGCTCCATACCCCAGCATCAGTTACTGAACATTCAAAGTGATCCAGAGCTATCAATACCTCAGTTAGGCAGTGTTTGGTTTCTGTTTTGTTCTGTTTTCTGAGCTGCAATATCCTTTCTTTGGTGACTGTAGAGAGATTCCGGATGAACTGAAGAGCATCCAAATTGAAAAGGTTTAAAGACACAGTTGCTCCTTTTGCATTCTTCCAAGTAGTTTGTCTGCTGCATGTTCATCATCTCTCTGTCTTGTTCTCTTCAAACGCAAAGCGAGCTTTTTTCTTGGGTTTTCCTGAGATCGCCATGAATAGCAGCACAACATCGCTTTGCTTTTACTCACTTTGGGATTTTCTTCTTTAACTCGGACCTTTGAATATTGTGCCAGGATGATACCGGAGCCTGACAGTATGAGTTGACCAAATACACTGTGTTTGCTTTGGAAAATAGCAAGGTGCACTCGAAACATATGAGGAGAATCATCACTCTTCAAGGTGTTTGGCTTCGGTCATTAGAGTATCAGCAGAGAGGACAAGAAGCAGCTCTGGCAATGGGACATCTTTGGTCCTGGGGATACCTGGTAAATTAATTCTCTATAATGGGAGAGATGTGATTTCAGACATGCCTGTTGTCTAATGCTAATTCCCTTGTGACATCTAGGTAACACAGAAGGTAATTCTGTGCCCTGGTCTTTTTATGTTCTCAACTGCAACACAGAGCGGTAGTAGAAGATTATCAAAGCGTGATAACCCATAAGCATAAACTCTCCTTCCCAAATACAGAGCGGAACACTTTTTGGGAGAATGATAGTATCATGGAATGTTTACGTAAACAGCAAAATCTGGTAAGCTGACTATTCATGTGACAAATGGGAAGACTTACCCTTTCATATTAGTCAGGTTAGCAGTGTCAAGATGGATGGATTATTAAAAAACCCTGGTCAACCATGAAAAAAATAAACAACAGCCAGACTTGGATTGATTTGTAGCCCATTGTGCTCTGCACTGCCATCTTTATTTTGATGACACAACAACTTGAGACCTAGGTATATTTAATATGAGGATGTAATTTTTTAAAACTAGTTTGGAGGTGAATGTGCATGTAAGGAATGGAGATGGTGACTCATAGCTGAGGATCAAAACAAGAAAGAACATGCAGATTTGCCTAGCGCCCCACAGAATGCTGTGTCGATCTGATGTTATATATTTAATTCTCAGTAAAGGGAGCTGAAGTACTCCATGAACTAAAGCTTTCAGCAGGGGGCTTTCTCTTTCCCAGCAGGATCATGTTGAATTGAGAGAGAACATGTAGGAAGTTAGTGAGAGTGAATGCATTCCAACCAAAGGACCAAAGATGTATCAAAGGCAGTAGCATCTCCTGCAGTAGTCAACATTGTCTGGCTGCCAAAACATTTATGGTTTCTTTGCTGATCCTGGAGGGATAAGCCATATTATCTTTGCTACCTAGTTTTTGCACTAATTGCTGAAAGTCCCCTCCATTTTATATGTAGCCCCTAATATCAGTGTCTTGACTATCTTTTAGGCTTTGAAAGCAAGGAGTCAAGTGGGTAGGGGAAAGGTACAGACAGACACTAGCATCTTCCTTGGACCTTTGTGTTCCTGGTGGATCTTATCTTCCACAACCATTCAGCTTCAAGGTCTAAAATAAAAGGGGTGACTCCGAGTGGTGTTTTCATATCACATATTGTTTTCTTCCACTCGATTATGATAGATTGGAGCACAGGGTTAATTTCCATATCTAGGATTAATTTCTGCTGCTGCATTAGAGCTGATTTATTTTGGACTTATGGTTGACAGCCTGCATAAAGGACCTCCTTTTTTTAAAAAGTGAGTGAGATGGAAGAGGAGCAATTTTGTGAACTCCCAGCAAAGTTTTGTGGTCATTGCATCTAACAGGAATGCATTGAATATTTGGCAAGGAAAAGACAGCATGGCAAGACAGTCTATCCATCCATAACGATGATAGATAGTGCTTAGACCCTACTCAAGTTAAAGATTTGGGGTGCAAGATTCCATAATAATGTGGCTATGTGAAGAAAATGCTTCTGTGGCTAAGGAAGATCTCATTCTTCTTTGGCATAATTTGGCTATGTCAGGTTAGGTCCTGTTTACCCTTGCAATTTTTATATTATGGCTATTCAATGAAATTGTGACCTTCACTTTTAAGTTTATAAGGATGTATAAGTGGAAAGTGAGAGAAAGAATCCATGTCTGGAGTAAGAGAGAGAGATTGGAAAGCTGGGCTGAGTTTGAGCAACTATACTACCCTTTTTATTTTGACCCCAAAATGAAGGCATTTGTATCTTCAATTATGTTAACTGCGTTGATTTTATGTTGGCCTTTTGCTCCCATAAGGATGCTGGCCTAGAAAGAATAGCTTGAGTAACGCACAAGGTAGTATGTTCTTAGGACTTGCATGATCCCATCCCATGGAGTACAGTACAATTGTTTTCAAAGACCTTCTATTTTCTCTGATAGCTAGAGTTATTAATGAGGAAGTCAGGGGCAGTTCTCACTGTAGTGATAAACCAGTGTTTGGGTAGTACCATTTTGACTGCAGATGAAGGCAAAAAAAATAATCCTGTTTAATATTTGCATATCAACAGACTGGATGCCTTCCCCTCTATCTGTACTGGGTTTTTGTTTTTGTTTTTTTGTATGGATTGACATTTTATCCTTCTCATGTCGATCAGTAATCTGTTAATAGAATTTAGGCCTCAGAAACTACTTGTTTCATTTACAAGATGACTATTGCAAGTAGAGTTAATCTAAGGATAGTTCATGAAGAATTAGACTAGGTGGTCCTAACTATGAAATTATATGCTTCGTCCTAATAATTTGCAAACCTTCAGTCAGTTCTGCTCACTTCTCTTCCCAATCTTGTAATTGTAAAGCTAGAAAGAGGGAATCATTGCCAGTTGTTTAAATGCTCCCTCTTTCCCCAAGTTCTAAAATGTTTTCATGTGTTTTGAAAACAAGAGGGGAGATCTTGGAGAAGAGTTTAGAAAAGTTACCTTGAGCTGTAGGTCCTTTTCTCAACTACTGAAGGATGCTGCAGGTTGTAGTCCATGAAAGTAAATTCTCCAAGATCTGCTGGTTGCTTACATCTAAGAAGTTAGAATTACAGTCCTGCCCATAGGTGGTGTGACATCATTATTTGAAAGGCACAGGATTCATTAAGAATTGTTACAAACCCAAAGACCTGGGTTTCTTAGTGCCAGTTGTTTAATGGAGTGGCTATGCTATATGGGGAGAAAGAATCCAATAGACCACCAACACTTCTGTAGAGAAAGCTTTGGTGCATGGTTTACCTTTTCTCTTATTAAAAAGTACTTAAGTATACATTAATACCCTCACCCCAATCTCCTTTATTGTGCCTCTCTTAGCTTTTAATGCTGCCACTGGCAAGGATATAAGGCATTAAGAAATAATAGTAGAAAGATGTCATGTGGAATTCTGAACCAAGTTTTAAAGCTGAACCTGGTCCTATGGACAGCCACAAGCCACCACGACAGTACAGTTAAAATGTCAGAAACTGGCAGAGGGAAGAATCACAGAAGTTACTTTCTGTATAGAGACAAGTTCCATTGGCATATCTAGGGTTGCCATGTGAAATAAGGAACAGTGCATTTGTGCTTTTAATATTTATAGAGAAAAGGTAATTTCAGCAAATATTGTTCTTCATACAAGCAACACCTTCTGAAATTGCCTTTTGAACACATCCACTAAAAATGTGGGTGCCTTGTCTTTTATTCAGCTGGCAGCCCCAGCCATATATGATGCCTTTTCTGGTTGAAAACATGGTAGAGTTACAAGATCTTCCAGTGCTCAGAGATTCTTGTATGGTTCTAAACTTGAAGTCTCCTTTGCCTAAATAAAGAAATGCATGGGTATGTGTGCATTTATGTTTGTATGGGTGTATACACTTCATAGTTCTTGAGCATTTGTATGATCAGAATTCATTTGAGCAGTTATGAATGCATAAGCACCACAGTTACCTACCTACAAAGTGATCCACAGTCTAACCTAGTCCCCACTTACCAGACAGCAGCTGCTGTGATCTATGGGGATCAGTTCCTCTGTCCCTTGTATATGCAGCTGATTGGTGTTCCCATCCTGACCCATGATTGATCTCCATTTGGACAAGCAGAAGCAATAGTCCCTGTGTATCCACTTTTGGAGACCAAATATACTAAGGCATCAGATCCTATCTGATTCTGGAAGCTAAGTAGGGTCCACCCTTGTTAGTTCTTGGGTTTGTCAATGAATACCAGGTTCTGTATACTGTATTTGTTTGCCTAAGAATACCCTATAGGGTCACCATAAGTTGATAGGCAATTTGAATGCCCCCATAAAATAGGGGATAAATAGGAATTGTGCACATGAAAGACACAAATATATAACTCTTAAGTCACCCATTCAAAATTGCTCAAGTGAATGCTGGTCTATAATTTGGATACAGACTGACATATTAGTATTTTTAAAACAAAATTTTGCTACGGTGCAACACAGTACTGATTTTGATTTCACAGCTTATGCTACAGATCCCACTACCTTTCAAGATTGCATATTTTAATGATTAATAAATTTAACAGCGCCAATGCCAGCATAAATTTGTTAATAAATTAACTGTGTGATGAGATCTAAATTCATACCCTTCAGAACTCAAATTTTACTTTCTGATTTGAATTGGTAGTTCATATTGACAAGCAGTCAAATTAGGTTTGTCTTTCCTTAATCCAAGTAACACTGCTGTTCTCTATATGCCTACTCAAAAGAAGTATCCCATTGAATAGGACTTGATCCCTGGCCAATGTTTGGCTTGTGCCATTAAAAAAAGCAAAAACAGAAGCTGCACACCAGCTCAAAATTCATCACCCGCAACCACCATTTATCTTGAGTTAGTGCTTCTGCTCATGTTCTTAATTTATGTTTGGCTGCAAAGTGAGATCTAAAGAAAGGGATGGGAGTATGATAGAAGGAAATCCTGAAAATAATGACACTCATCCACCTGCCATAGTCATGAGCAACCAATCACATGTAAGAATTGGTCATTCTGGATGTGGATGCATATCCAGTGATAATCAAATAAGATTCATCCATCCAGTTCAATAAAGCTCAGACAAAAAGTGTTGTACAGTGTAGCTGGAGACCTTTATACATATCAGCAATGGGTGGAAGTCTGCTTATGTGCATGGATTACTCTTACTGGATCAGAACATATATTTGAGGATCTTGAACTTATAATAGATCAATTGCAGAGCAGCAGCAACACACAAACCTGATTCTGTTTCTGTTCCAGCTGCTAACAATCCAGGGTATCCTATTTGAAACTGGAGATACGGAGGCATTATTGTGAAGACTCAAATCAAAACATAAAAGTTCTTTAATAAATGGTGGACCCAACTTTTACTATTTAAAACGGGGAAGCTATTAGCTTTAATACATAATATAATGTACTTGGATTTAGTTTCTTTTTCATAAAGGTGAAGGAAAAGGTGAACTGACTCAAGCCATCTAAGCCTCATCCAAATCCCATCATTTGTGTGTAATTATATATAAAAGGATATAGAGATCTATTAACATAAATAAAATCCTCTTGTAAACAATGCATGATGACTAGCCAGTATGTAAGTAGCAGCATGCAAAAAGCAGAACCTGCTCACCATGTGTGTCACCATTGCCCATTTTCTAGAATACAGTCAGCCTACAAACTTATTTTTTAAATGTGGTATGGATGAATTTATTTTATCTACGATAATAAGATTGGGGTGGGGTGGGGGACTGAAAAAATAAACTCTGAGAGAAAGAATGGTCGTAACAATGTAAGCTTATTTTCAATAAAAAAGTAATAATTTTTTAAAATAAAAAAGCAACAAAGCATGCCTGATTCATTAAATCATTGAAAGCAGGGGTGGGGCGGGGGAACATAAACACCAACACTATGGCAACGAATTTCATCAGTGTCTTGTAATATATATTTACAAAACTGTAACTTGTTGAATTTTTACCATGTCCAGGTAGCAGCAACATTGTGGCTTCAATGTTTTGTGTCGTGTTGAAGCATTTCACTGTTGACGTAAATTTAGAAGCCATATTTGATCACAGACTGCCAGGATCCTGAAATGGGGATTGGCTGACAGGTGATCCTCAGTCTCTTTGCTCTCCCTTGCTAACGTCTTCCCTCCTCTATTGTCCTTACCTGTCTTCCCATCTTTGTCTTATGTTATTCCCAAGGACATTTGTGGTTAACTGAGAGCTGGCTTAAATCGGAGGCCTTACTTTGGTTTGACCTCCGAAGGGAGTGCCTTCAGGGAGACTCCGACCTGGCTCCGAATGTATTTGCTGGGGCCTTTTTTCTTAATCTGAATGCAGGGACAGCATCAGCACCCAGATCCCTCAGGCAGTGGCCATGACCAAAGGGCTCTGGCAGGGCCTCTACTGTTGATATTTGCTTTGGCTCATTCTCCTGCCCTGATTCTCCTGGGCTACTGCAATGGCAGCAATTCAGCCTAGGAAGCTAAGCACTATTTGTTATTTCTCAGAGTGCACTGGGATACATAGCATAGCATTGTGAGAAAGTAAATTTTCCATACTAATCCTTTGTGAAATGTACAAGCTAGATCAGGAGTGTGACTCTAATCATCCTTCTGATATATATAGAATCATAGAATTGGATCTGGACCCATGTGCTCTCAAGTCCAAGCTCCTGCTCCAGGCAAGAAGTCCAGTTAGAGCATTCCCAGCTATCCAGTCTGTTTTTGAAGATGCACACAGAGAGAAAAACCTTACCACCTCTTTAGACAATAGGATCCATTGCTGAACTTCTCTTATCAAGAAGTTCCTTCTAATGTATAATTGGAATCTTATCCTGCTGTGACTTAAAACTATCTGGTCATACTTTTTGGGGCAGCAGAGAACAAACTTGTATCCATGTCTCTCTGACAACCTTTTAGGTATTTAAATAATTGTGTCACTCAGTCTTCTCTTTATCAGGCTGAACATGTCTAACTCCCCTACCTTTCCTTGTATATTTTGTTTCCCATCATCCTTGTTGCCCTGCTCTGGACCTGCTCCCATTTGTGTATATCCTTCTTGAAATGAAGTGCCCAGAACTGAACATGGTATCCAGATAAGGCCTCACTAGTGAAGAATGTGATGGGACTATTACTTCCATTGGCTTGGAACCTATGGTTCTATTTTATGCAGGGTAAATATTATTTGCCTTCTTTATTGCTGCATTACACTCTTGGGCCATGCTCATTTTATGATCAACAATAATCCTATGGTCCTTTTCCCATGTACTATTGCTAAGCCAAATATCTCCCCCATCTCTATCTTTTTGGTTTTTGTAGAATATTGCATTTGTCTTTGTTAATTTTTATTCTATTAGATTCAGACCAATTTTGATTGAACTACGCATCCCATATTTACAATTCCTTACCAATCTCTTGCCACTTCAAATGCTGACTACAGCTATGGTAAATTGCAGTCCAGTAACATCTAGAGAGACATATTATTCCCATCTCAAATTAGATTGGGTACACAAAAGATCGACATGTTTGATACTCATGGCAGAGAGAGGCCTCTGCTCCCGTGGCCTCCCATTCCAGCCATGCCACCTCTCAGTCACCCACAAACCTTCCAGATAATTTGAGTTAGTTGACATTTTGGATCTAGTTCATTTCTCATACTTCTGGTGCAGCCCAAGTTCTGCAACACAAACCTCCACCTCCACCTCATCTCACTCTGCGGGAAGCTACTTTTACTGTCCTCTGCCCTCATGTGGACTCTGTTTTTGTCTTTATTGTTAAATTGTTATTTTGTAATGATATGTGTTTCCTTAATAAAGAAACTAGCCGAAAGATCCAGTCTCTCTTTGTTTTCCTCTTTTTCACAACATAATTATTTCCTTGTCACACATGATTCTTGGCCTTTGGAATTTAGGAACTGCACTGAGAAATTTAGATACCAAAGAGGATAAGGCCCTCTTTCTGGTTTCACAGCCAAAAGAATTTGGGATAGTACAACACCTCACACAAGAACACTTACTACAACTGTCTTCCATATATATGTCTTGAAGACCCAGTACATAGTTTGCTTCCCCCCCTAGGTATCCTAGAAATGCTGTAATGGATTGACTAATCCATTCAAAAGAAAAATACATGGAATTTTAAAATGCAGGAATTAGGTTTTTGTATATATGCTAAAACTAAAGAAGTCTACTGTAGTTTCTTTTGGTTTCTAGCCCCCCCCCCCCCCCCAGTGCTGCTAGTCACACCAGAAAGATAACTAGAAAGAAGCACCATATCTCATCATAGTTTTTTTTATGTAACCTTCATTTAGGAATGGTCTACCATTGCTATCTTCTGCACAGCATAATAAGATGCAAAGAAATTTCCTAGCACCCTTGAAATTTCTAGCAGAAGTTTTCATAGACTCCAGTCCACTTTATCAATAGCATCTGATGAAGTGATTAAGTGGATTGGAGCCCACTGAAGTCCATAATGCAATTGATGAAATAAACTGAAGTTTATGCTAGGAATTTGTTTTTCTCAGTTTCAAAAGACTAGCACAGCTATGTCTTTGGGTACAAGAGTTAGCTACAGGAACAAACAAGCAAACAAACCAACTCTTACCCTTACTGTAAGATAAGAATCTGTTTTAAGCTACAGGCAGCTCCTAACATAACCTTCTCCTTGCAAACTTTCTTCCAGAAACATCTCACATGTTGTGCTCAAAAATATACGGCTGTACCCAATGAGCCTGTACCCAACTGCTGTACAATTGTATTTCCAAAATTACTTCCTTGATTATCATTAAAACTGATTTAGCCACTCTACTGTGTCTAAAGATGGTGATCACACACGCTTTTGCTCTTGGAAACTAGTGCATTTTAATATTGAGGAATGAACTGAAATCCGATGTGTAACCCGACTCTCAGCCATATAATTCTTCACTGGCATCTTGTCAGTGGGACACAGAGATGTAAGCTAATCCTATGCCTGTTCACATCTAGCTTTGGTCTCTATGTGGGTTGGTATTCCCTTACTACCTCCACAGTGACCAAATCCTTCTCCTGGATCAGCCATGGAACTATTGAACCACATAGTCCTAGCCATTTATGCTTGGAGAAGAGCAGGAAGGATTACAGAAGTATCTGGTTGTGTCCCTGCAGCCAGACATTAAATGATTACACCAGCTTATGAGACCCCTGGTGGACCCTGATGGACCTCAGTAGACGATGTAATTATTTTGCACCTGGCTACATGATACATTCCCCCCATCACTCTCAAATAACCAAGTGGAGCAGCTCTTCAATGCACCTAAGGGGTTAAATGTTTTTGGTGTAGCACAGTTACACATATGGAACTACTATACTGTGCTGAGCTATGCAGGATTACAGACATTAGGCATTCATCAGTGATATCTTGATAAGAGTATAGGGTTTTTTAACTGGGATAGTTAAAGGAGTATTTAATTCAAGAACTTTGAGTCTGAATAGTCTGGGGACCTATCTGATTATGAAATACTGGCTTTAAGACTAAATATCAAATACCATGATTTGGTATGTGTGCAAACACACTGCTTGAAAGTCACAAGATTATGTCATTTTTTTGAAATTTTAGTATGCAAGTATACACTTAGCTATGGATTAGGTATATATCCCCCCTCCTATCACTCTTGCATGAAAGGCTGTTAGATTAAAAAAAAAGGATGTAGGAATATTTTAGATCTCTCCACCCCATCCCACTCCTGGTCACAATGCTGACCCCTCCTGCTCCTCCCCGATCTTGAATAACTGGAGGCACGCGGGCGCCTCCTCGCCCGCACACAGCTACTCTAGTTTGAATTGGGACTGAGCTTTAATACTCATATGCTATACAAATACAGTAAATAAATAAATAAATAATAAATATCTTCACCTTTCAGAGAGAATGAAATTCAATTCAGAGTAGATTGTTTATCTAATTTCCAAACTTGTCAAATAAGAAAAAGTACTCTTTCATGTGGGGCAAAATAACATGCTATTGTGTTTGGTCTTGTTAAAATGGATTATATATGTTCCCAATTAAGTGTGATAGTTGAGCATTTTCAGATACTATATATTTGGTATCATCTTTGTCTGCTGTTGCTGTGTACCTTCAGGTCAACTCCAATTTCTGGCAACCCTATGAACTGCTCATAGCTTTTTCCAATTACAGAGTACTACTTCCAGGCAAACACTAGGTGCCACTATCTCTTCTCGACTCCAACAGAAGCACACAGAATCTGAATTCGAATAGCCTTGATGAAGAGACCAATTTGACCAGTAGGAACATCAGTCTTTCCAATAAGCCTTTCTTCTTTCAAGTCTCCACCTGTAGTACAATCTGATGCTTTATAGCTCTTCTGTGCCAGAACAAGATATAGTTCCAAACCTTCCCACCGTCACACATTATTTCTATATTGGTGATAAATGATGCAGTAGACGATAGAGATGCATTCCAGCTCTTTTGTTACATAAGGCCAACATTCCTTCACAGCTTATGGTAGATTTGGGCTCCCAAACTATCTATCCCTTGGCTTTAAGAAGAGATTGGGTGGAGAAGCCCAGATATAAAGGAGGATAGGTCTCACAGTTAAGAAGACAAAGGAATCTTGGCTGGCTCAGCATCCTTTTGTTCCTAGGCACTCCAGAACTGCTTTAAGGGATTGCGATATCTAATCTGCACTATATTATTTCTAAGAAAACAGCTTCAAACCTAACTCTACTCTTGCAAATGCTCAGAAAAGTGGTCTGACGTGTGCATCTCGGCACACAGCTGTCCTACATCATTTCTAAAGGGTTTGATATAATGAGGCTAGAGCCAGACTGGCTCGGTAATGGGCAAAAGGTCGAGTGAGCATTCACTATGGGAGCTGGTGCGCTATCCACCTAGGAATAAGAGCTGCATGTAGGAAGTCCTCTGTTAACTTGATTCACAAGTTAATTATGGTTGTTTACAATGTTCCAAAACATACATTTTTAAAATTATATACAAAGAAATACATGATTAAAACTATTTTGAGATGCTGTATTCTCTCATGTCCAGTCTGTATTTTCTTCAGTGTACATCGTTAGTTGACTTTTAAAAAAATATATTTTTCTAGTTTATTGATGTGAGTTTTCATTACTGAACTGCCTCAACATGCTAATGGGGTTTAACTCTAGATCAGGGATAGTAACAATGCATCCTTCTAGTGATACTATTAACAACTACAACTAGATTTATGTCCTACAACTCAGCATGAGATCCTGTGGCATTCTTTTTGGTTGCTTTTAGTTTCTATAGTCACAAGCAGAACTGCGCAGAGAAGTTGCTTTCACTCAATCAATTCTGTTCAGTATTCTCTGCTGTTTCCAAGCCATGCAAGGGATGATCACTTTTATTATGGAAAATCCTTTGTTAGAATTGTAGCACAATACCCAATACCCAGAGTCAGTGTCATCTGCCTTCTAATAAAATATAGATTTTATTATTTCTAGATTTTGCCATTTTATATAAGGGATACTATTTTACAATACTATTATATACTAGCTGTCCCCTGCCACGCGTTGCTGTGGCCGTCTGGTGATCTGGAAAATAATGAGGTGTTGATTTCTAATATATGTAATGTCTTTCTGCTTGTGGGTAAATAGTATTTCTTGCTGTTTCTGTCAGTGTTAATGTAGAGATTGTCTGGTTTGCCTATTCTGGAACATGCAACATATTGTCCTTCTTTAGGGGTCCCTTTCAAATCTATGATACTATATCTCTGTGTATCATATCTATCTATATATATGGCTGGATGGCTCTTTGTCAGGAGGGCTCTGATTACGTTTCCTTGCCCTGGTGAATTAGACTGTATGGCCTTAAGAATTTTCTGTTGGTCATGGGGGTTCTGTGTGGGAAGTTTGCCCCAATTCTGTCGTTGGTGGGGTTCAGAATGCTCTTCGATTGTAGGTGAACTATAAATTCAAGTAACTACAACTCCCAGATGTCAATGTCTATTTCCTCTAAACTTCATCTGTGTTCATTTTTGGGCATATGGGATATTCATGCCAAGTTTGGTCCAGATCCATCATTGTTTGAGTCCACAGTGCTCTCTGGATATAGGTGAACTACAACTCCAAAACTCAAGGTCATTGCCCACCAAACCCTTCTAATGTTTTCTGTTAGTCAGGGGAGTCCTGTGTGCCAAGTTTGGTTCAATTCCATTGTTGGTGGAGTTCAGAATGCTCTTTGATTATAGGTGAACTATAAATCCCAGTAACTACAACTCCTAAATGACAAAATCATAATTTTTGAGTGATGGTCACTCCTTGTGTTGTGAGACGTTTTGTTGTCAAATTTGGTGTGATTTCGTTTATTGGTTCTTTTGTTTTTAAGGTACTCATGCACAGAGCATTTATATAGATAGATAAAAATAGAAATTGAGCATCCATATTTTGATATTCACATAGTGTCCTGTAACCAAGCCATGGGGGATACCAAGGGACAACTGCATTTTCAGTCTTGGCCTAAGTTTTCCTATTTGAGCCCCCCAATGTAACCAGCCCTTTAACTATTACAATCAGATTAGGAGAAAAGATGGCAAAACTTATACTTTCTGCCAAAGACCTGATGAAAGTGAGATTTTTCATCTGCTAGAAAAAAAAATCTATTTGTTATTTAAGACAGACTCAGTGTTAAAGCACTTACTTTATTCATTTATAAATACTGTTTGTGTTTACAAGCATCATAGATGTGAATATTATTCTCAAATTTTCAAACATATACTTAGAATACTATATAACAATCAGGAAAACAAAATCATTCATCTCAATTTGAAAGGCCACTCAAAAGTTGCATAAAAATACATTCTTTTCCATCACTCACAGGCTTGTCTTTTCTCCAAGTAGCATATTTACAAAGATAGGTAAACCTCTCCTTAAAACAGGCAGGAACAGAACACTTGCAAATGGAAATTAGCAAGCCAACAGCTGAACACCTTTCTTTTCCAAGAGTTACCATTTGCAGAGGACTTGTTAACAGATACCATAACAGCATGAACTAAAATGGAGTGAGAAGAAGCACAACAGATCTTATGACAATGGCTCGGCCTTGCTGTTACTTCAGTGGTTTTAGCGCCAACACACTATAAATTGCATTCAGCAAGGGTACAATTTGTCCCAGAAAAGAGAGAACATCAGAGGAGACGGGAATCTCTTGGGAGATGGGTTGACCTCACCTGTGAGTGTCTAAGGAGTTATCTTGGTAAAAACCCTCCTAGGAATATGCTGCCTTTAGCAGAACCACACAAAGATTTCAAATGTGAAGGTGAATGTGAATTCAAACACAAATCATTCAAGGAAAACACCCTGGAGATTTAGCAAGTTTGAAACCAACCTAAAAATGCCCCTGGAAGGAAACATGCATCTAGAATGCCGGACTTCAAATTGAGATGTTGCCCAGAGCACCAGGAGCTAATATGGTAGTGCATTAGGTGGTGTGTGGAAAGTCAAGAACATGTGTGAACAAGAAAAGTGTGATCATAAACACCAAGAGTATAAAAAGCTGCAACAGTGTGAGTGCAAACCACAAACATCAGGGACAAAGGGGGAGGGGGGCGCCTGCAATCTATTTTATTTGCACAAAGTCCTACCAAAACAAAATTCCTTTCAGTTACTAATAAACACTCAAACAACTTAGAAGGACCTGCTTATGAATCTGTACTGGAACTACGAAAGTTCTTCTAAAGCACATTGGTTCTTTTCACAAAGAACTAATTTTGGTGGATGTGTGTGTGTGTCCTGATAAGGTATGTTACTGAGCTGCATGATCAAATCAATTTTTCAGAAATTTTCAGGCTCTAATGCAGCAAGTATGTGGATAAAGGAATATATTAGACTCTTATTGGATGAGATCTCTACTCTATCACATGTTGTGTGCCTTAGAATTTTTTCCAATGTGAACCTATCACAGTGGTTTCTTGGCAAGACTTGATCAGAGAGCTTTGCTTTTGTATCCCTGACAGAGTGTGACTTGCCTAAGGACACTTAGTGAGTTTCGATAGCTGAGTGGGGATTCAAACTCTAGTCTCCATAGCCCAGCCTTCAACCCACTACATTATGCTGGCTTACCTATCATATACACTCACATATTAAGGAATATTGGAATATTTATTTTACCTTGACCATTATCATTCCATTAGTTCAGTCAAGAATTTGCCCTTCCCTAATGAAAAGCAAATGTTAGTCTCTGTGTATTCAAATAAGGGCAAGGATTACATATGATACAATTAAGACACAGCCATGTTACCTTGAATTGGTATGGAAAGGGATCCTGTAGCACTTCTGAGACTAAAAGAAGTTTTGAACATATGTTTTCATAAATGGAGTGAAATGCCTAGAAAATAACATTTAGACCCATGAAAGTGCATGTTGCATGTGTGAACAATAATAGACATACAAAGCCTGTGGATATGATGATGGCGTGGCACGTTAAGTTTTAACAATGTTGATGATTATTAAAGGACAGAGGTGGAAGGAAAAATGCTGCCTTAAGCCAAGATGTATAGATACTTATAACAATGGTGTGTGTGTGTGTGTGTGAGGGAGGGGCGGTGGGGTCCTTGCAATATAGCATGCTGCTGGCAAGGAACCAGAAAGGAACTGTGATAAAATGAGTAAGATCCCCATGAGTATTAATGAGTATTCTAATACCTGCAGTGTGCCATAAAACCACTGACCCTGTTCAATCTGGATATATCCCAACTCTGTTTTTTTTTATTTCCCCTTGAAGTTGCTTTACTCAGTCTCAAAGGTGCTATAGTATCCTTTAACATATATATGGTTTACTGGCAAATAGTAGCATGGCTAGTCTTACAGCCAGATGTTGCACTGTGAGAATATGAGGCTTACTTCCAAATTCAACTGTGAATTTGGAAGTAAGTGCATTACGTTTGTTTCTCCAATTTGAGGTGCTTTTTTAAACCATTCTTAAGAGTTCTTTCATACTACTGGCTCTTTTATATTACTAAAACATAGCAATCAAATATCTGCTCAGGCATGGAAATCCACTGGGAACCTTAGACATGTCAAACTTTCTAAGTCTTAGAGAAAGGCAAAGTCCTCTGAACACATCTTGACAAGAAAATCTTGTGACATGATTGCCTAAAAGTCACCAAATGTCACCAAACTTTAAGGTACACAGTAAAAAATCCTATCAAACAAATTTTAGCTCTCAAGATTTCTTTCGTATTTGCATTTGCTTCCCTGAAGTCAGCCCATTTTGAATGTCTCTACTTCATCTAAAACTTTCATTTGACCAACAATGGTCCCATTAAAACTTCAAGCTTTATCAACTGTAAGTAGTAAAACCAACTCCTGTTTCCACCTTACTTGAAGCTATACCTTTTAAATCAAACTGCATTGAAAAAAATCTACATAGATGTGACAGAAGTCTTTAAGATCTTTGATATGCAGATACATCTTGAAATGTACATTACCTGCAAAAGTAAGACAGTAGTCAGGAGAAGGGTCCACTTTCGATTATACAGAAAAACCTCCAGTATCCACATGGCTGAAAGCTCTCTTATTGCAGACTAAAACTTCCAACGTCTTTCTTACATAATATTCATTTTATGCAGAGAATGTTCCAGCAGACTGCACAATAACATTATATAAAACCCATGTGTGCATTAAAACATAGTAGTATAATACATCAGGAAAGAAACATTATTCAGTAGTTGTATTTTTATTTTATTTTATTAAAAACAGATTCAGCATGAGTACTTTGTCCTGAATTCTTCAGTAAAGTTTATTCCACTATTAAAACCACAGGCTAAGATACGAATGGGCCTTTGCACACACATTCACAATCCTTTTGTTTGAACCATGATTAACCCAGAAAGCCATAGCTGCCTATTTTGTCCAAATCAGCTTCCAAATAATCCAGAACCTACAACTAATTTCACAGCATGATTAAAGATATATTCTTTTGTTCCAAAATGGAAACTAGTTAGATATTTCCTCGTTTGTCCATACCTTCATTCACTTCAGTGCGGATCTCCAAAACTCCTAATAATTGATCTGGAGAAGCTTTGGCTTTCTATTAAATTAACCAAAGCAAATAGTTAAAATAATGAAAATTGTATCAAAATGCGACCTCAGACATTAAACTGAATGACATATGACTACCAGCATTTGTCATAAGCATGATCGGATTCTCTATTTTTGGTAGGCTGTTACAAGCAATGTTTAGGCTTGTAAATCAAGTCAAAGGAATTGATTTATTCACCAAGTTTTCAACCCAAGAAAAAATCAAGAATATGTATGACATTCTAACTGTAAAAGTCTTGACTTCAATATGGCACTACTCATCCTGCTGTATCAAATATCACAGATTTCAATTTTAAGGTTATGTACATTAGAACTTGAGAGTCACTGAATCTATTACATCTTGGTAAGTGGTGGCAATAATGGAATGCAGGAATCACAGTAGAATAAATTACAAGCACTAGATGCCGTTTTCATCTTTTCAGTTAATTGACCTTTCATGGTAGGGTCTGAAAAGGATCCATAGAGAATTCCTTGCTCATGCAAAAGCAGCAGGATTGGCAACCTACTATGCCCTAGAGCTGAAAGGTATCACTTGCAGAAAGATCAGTGCATGCAGGAGTTGCAGATTGTTTAAATATATAGAGCAGGAAAACCAAATCACCACCAATCCCAGCTACATACAGATATGAAATCAACTGAGCAATAAAAGAATACCAGATGTAGTATCAGTAAAGTATATGGATTTTTAACAGATAATTGATCCATTCTGATGCTGTTCGAAATATGACAAAATGTCAGACCAAACAAACCAAAAAGCAAGTACTGCTTATAACTCAGGGTATATTTTCTTTCTATTCAAAGAGAAGCAAGCTCAAACCTGTTCATAATAATAGAATCTGAAATCTCTGTCTTTACAAAGCAGCTTAGTCCAGAGGAACTGATATCTCAGTCTTAATAGGATTCTATTCTTAGCTGGTGGAAAATGAGAGGAACCTATGTACAAATATGGAAAATCTAAAAGAAGATGATGATCAAATGTTGAGAAATATTGACAGAAAAGCCTGTATTGCTGCTATTTACCTAATAATGAGTGACTGTATTCAGATAACAAAGGTTCCTTTCTAACCAGACATGATAATTGCCTAAATCTAGGTCAGAACTATATGAAATTGATATCATGCTTTAAGAGAAAAAGAAACAAGTAAGAAAACAGAACAACCCTACTGGTATAGGGTCACATTATTGGCAGGAATTTTAAAAAATAGGATTTGCAAGTGAAATGTAGTTTTTCGCAGAAGTCAGAAGAGCAGAGTGTCTGAAGCAGCTATATTCTGAGAATCTGAATATTTCCAGGACAAACAAAACATGTTTTTAAACTATTTATATCTTGTAGATAATGTCCTTATTAAAAGCAGGCTCATTTGTGTTTTATAACTGTGAAAATCATCACTATATTAAGATTCTCAAACATTACATGGTATTTTTTATCCAGACCTTCCATGCAAACTGAGGGTCATTTCCCTCAAGGGATGAGCACCTCTATTCATCAATCTTCTTCTTTAACAAAGGAGAAGATGTACATCTTCAGTTGCTTTTGCACCCATTAAAAATGATAATAATCATCACTTCATTTGCCCAGGTATTTTGTAGAGCTTTTCATGCAACATAATTACTTCACATAAAAATGAGCATTTTGCTATTTAAAAAAAGGTACACTGGCGTCTTGTGCAAGGGTACGTCATACAACTGGAAACTGAGTAAGTAAAGTTCTCTGGTTCACTGGTTCTGCTACAAATCTTGAACAAATGGGACAAAGTATTAGCCACAGAATGCAGGGGTTATAAGACCACACCATTATTCAATAGTACCAGAGAAGGCAACCATGGAAGGCAACAGCAGGAAGCAAGTTGAGGGCCACAAAGGTGAAGCAAAACCAAAGGAAGAACCATTTATAGGTCTTCACTATTCAATTAAACTTAAAATATTACATTAAATAAATTTGTCAGCGATTGAGACATGTGAAAAACATGACTCTCCAAAGCTGAAAAAATGTTGTCAGACTCCCAGAGAAATAAGTTCTTATGGCATTCAGATTGCAGTTTCCCAAATTCCAGAAGAGACATTGAGTAATCCTCAATGACAATTCTCAGTTCCACTCTATTCCTACTCCAAGGCAGTATCTTAAGACGTGTTGGGTCGTTTCTTTATTACAGTAGTTGCTTCTTTATCTCAGGTTATCATGGACGGGCATGGAGCATACAGAAGATTCTTCAGGCATCTCATAGAGTGCCAATCCAGTGTTTGTCTTTCTGAATGAATAACATCAACATTCTAAAAATAATAAAGAGAGAGAAAGAGTGTGTGACTGTGTGTGGGATATGTCATGTCTTGGCGTATAGGAGAGGATAAGCACTGTGCAATATGGGAATGCCCAGCCAAGTGCAAGAAGTATGTGTGGTCAGCTGATCCATATCTGAAATGCCAGCAGTTCTTTCAACAGGAAGATCAGAAGCAGGTGGCAGCTTGTGCACAGAAATGTCATCTTTACGTCTGTCCCTGGGTCAACATACTACTTGGAGAGTTTACTGATGACCCGAATGAGTGCTCCATTTTCATCTTTCAGTCGCTGATTGTCTGACTTCAGCTCTGTCAAAACCTATTCAAAGACATGATAAAGTGTCAAAATATTTCAGTAATCACAAATTCCTTGGGAGAAAAATACATAGCTACAAAACAGCAGAAAAATTGTATTTAGTTATTCAAAATTATTTTCTCTGAGAGGCAGGCAACTTGGGTGAACAAAAATATATGTGCTGAGAATACACACACAAATCTACAACAAGAAACATTTATCAAATATACAAAGTAGCAGCTACTCAAGTTATTATGTTTGGTTACATTTCACACTTCTCAAAATGCATACGGCAAGGAAATATACCGTGTAAGTACTATAAAACACAAATAAATGGAGAATTATTGTACTCTAGCACAACTGGAAAGGTCTATCATCCTTGATTGTGCTACCCCAATGATTTTACTTTCAATTTAGTTTAGGAAATGTCCTTGCTTTTGTGTATTGTGCTTTCAAACACAATTCCCATGCAAGACAGATCTCTCTCACGTTTAATCCTTGAGGAAAGTTGCACAGTTCCAAAAATGTGCATAGCTTCAGATATCCTGTTTTTAATGTGTAAAATCAAAATCACAACTATAAACTAAAAACAAATACAATTAAGAATCTGGTCAAGTGGATTTTTTTTGCTCCTTTTTCATGCATCTATTCCTATCCTTTTCATTTTTTAAAATTATTTTATTGTTTTTCACATAAATTAAATAGAACAACAACAATACAGAATGTCCAAACAAACAAACAAACAAAAAACAACAACAACAAAGGGGGGGGGTGTCGCACATACACGCAAACATACATATTTAAAAAACAAAAAAGAATATAAAAAGAACATAATATTCCTATCCTTTTCATATGTAAGTAAAAACAACGAGGAGACATTTTGCTCAAGAATATAGTATTTATGTAAATTAAAAAATCTACTCTTAAAAGGCACCAAGGAATTATGTATGTATGCCTCATTTTAGTTGCATCCTCCACAAAGAGTGGTTCAGCAAGTGGAAGTTCATAAAATGGACTTGGTAATGGTGAAAAACCACCATTACCAAGTCCATTTTATGAACTTCCACTTGTAATCTCCTATCAACAGTTTTTCATATTAAATACAGGCTCCCAAATCACAATGTGTAAAGCATGGTTTTTAAATATTTGAATGACAACTCATTCACAAAAGTAGCTGGATTCTTTTTAACTTGTCATATACATATAAATTTCAGAGTATGAAGTGTTGTTATTGAATATATAGAAAGGCCATGCAATTCTGGGAAGAAACACACCAGACCACCTATTCTGGGTGCTGATAATGTTTGGAATTCATAGGACTTTACTAACATGGGCAAGATACAGCATGCTCTTAATGATGACAGCCTGCGTCTGAAGCCCTTCAGCATTCTTTCGGTTGTACCAACCTCATACAAATTCCTATCGGTTGACTTATATTGAGGGAAATTACCAGGGGTTTGGTGTGATGGAGGATACTAAAAAAGCTTAGGCAAGCTTAGGAGAAGGAAATGATAGAGAACATAACTGAGATGAGAGTACAAGGAGTACCTATTTATCAACACGGATTTGAGAAAACCTTGTACATCTCTTAAGTATCAGAAATTGTGTATAAATATATTTGAAACCAGTTGTGTATAAATACATTTGAAACCAGTTGCCACTGAGAATTGGAAATGTAAAAATACACATACATTTTCATGTCTTTGTCACAAGAGAATGTCTTGACAAATCTTGGTCTTCCAAAGAAAATGGTCAAATGTAGTAAATTTTGGAACTTTCTTTTTGCCAAAAGCACCCCCCCCCCCAAAAAAAAAAAGAACCATCCCCAATTTTCCATCAAGAAACATGTTGGGACCTAACTTTTCATGCTGCCCCCAAATCCACCATTGAAAGAGGCCTCTCAGTCAATCAGAAGGGGTAGGAGGAATCCGAGCTAACAGTGAGGGGAGGTCAGCCCTTCTCATGGGCACAGGCAAATTGTGCCCCAGCCACTGTCCAGTCACCCCCAGACTCCTCATCAGAGGAGAGATCAAAACTACATGTGATCCATTACATAACACATCATTCCCGCTAGGGTGGCAAGTTGGAAAATAGAATAGATTTCTCTTAGAAGAGAAAAAGAAGAAAAATATCTTCACAAATATCCTCAGAAAAGGCCACCACCTCGAGCTTAACAATTGCTGTTATGATTATAATAATTTAGGCAGGTGAAACAGACCAACCTCAATAGGGTAACAATGGCCAAGAGCACAGAATCAAGCTATTTCCATAAGGGTAGTACTGTACAGACAGATAGTTGTTGAAACCAATCGATAAAATCCTCAAATTCAGTTATCAATTATCAAATTAAGTTATCAAATGTACTTTGATGATGATGTTGTTGTTTGTTGTTTATGTTCTGATTTTATTGCTGTAATATGTTGTCCTGGGCTTGGCCCCATGTAAGCCGCTCCGAGTCCCCATCGGGGAGGTGGTGGCAGGGTATAAATAAAGATGATGTTAATGATGATTATTATTATTATGAATCACATGTTAGATGGGGCTCTAAAGCCTTATCCTGATCTGAGCTGAAGGAGGACAGAACAGGGAAGGTGAGACTGGTCCTCCTATTTAGGGTAATAAGGATGATTGACAGGTTGAAAGCTCTACCTGTGGAACATGCGAGGAGCCAGAGCCAGTTTGAAGGATTGTTGCTCCACACTGGGCTAAAACAAAGAGTTGCATCCCCAAATTTTGAGGAGGAAACAAGGAAGAACAAAATAATGTGGAATTACGCTGAACAATATATCTCCCACTTGTTTCCCCAAGTGTTTATTGCAGGATTTACCATAAAATTTCTTTTAAATGAATTCAAGCAAAACACAAAAACTGAGATGGGATGAACATAGCAGTTTTGCTGAATGACCATCATACTGTTAAAGTGATTTGTTTAGCATCTCGTACAAAAATCTGTTCCTTAGTGTTGTTTCAGTCAAATGAGGAGAATACAACTTCATGGTGCTTGCCTTGGTGAATGAAATGAGGAAAAAGGGACTATTTTGGAGTCTGGAATTACAAGACTTAACATGCTAAGCCAAAAGGGATCAAACAAAAGGGTTTTATAAAATACCTGACAGGAAAGCATAAAGCACCAGCAAATAAGTTGTCAAATCATTATAAATATATAAGCATCTTCAACTATTATATCACAATGGACAGTATTTGAAAGTTCTTTTGAAGTCCAGTAGGAGGAATGAAAACATTTAACAGTACCTCAGCGCTAGAGAGTTATACTTTACAATATTAAATATCAATATTTATTCATGTTTTCCTTAAGAAGATAATGATCTTGCCTTTATCTAATTTTGGTGTTCTGGAAGGGATTGCCAACACAAATAATATTAATTAGATCCTGCTGCAATAATATGTAAAATTATGAAGAATTAAGGAGCAGCTTGCTTTGGCCCTTCTTCCTTTCAACAGTGGCAGACTTTGGAGCCCAAAGAAGCTCCCCACCATATTTTGGAGCTCTACTGAATTCTGGTAAACATCATTATGATGCCACAGCTAATGTTTTGGTCACTGCTAGTCACCTTTAATCACCTTTAGGGCCAAGGGAGGTGGGCTCCTGCAGTTTTGGAGTGTGGGCCCAAAGAGTAAGAAAATCCATTTACAGGGCATTTTCAACAGGTTTTTTAAAAACTATTTTCAGTTAATTTTTTTCCAGGAGGTTCTCTTCTTTAATGAGAGGAAAGTCAGAGTACCTGCACTGAGCTCATAAAGAGACATGTTGAGCCCACATGACCCCAATCCATTTTAGATGCCTCACAAAAAAATCAGTAACTGAAGATACTAATTAAAAACACATATCCTTAACATCTAGTTATTGTGTGCCTTCAAGTCATTTCTGACTTATGGAGGTCCTAAGATGAATGTATCATTTTCCTGGCATAATTTGTTGGTTTTTTTTTTTTTTGTGGGGGAGGGTGCCTTTCCCCTCCTCTCCGGTTGAGAGGAACCCAACCTTTATTAAAGGATTCTTCGAAGCATCCTTACATCTCAATATTCATATCCTCAATGAAGCCATGCATTATTTTATTTAAAGAAAAGGCAAAACAGAATAATCATGGTATTGTCTATGCTGAAAACCAGTGAAGACATGTCACTATGAAGAAAAATAGCTTTTCAAAAATCTTAAGCAGTTCCCTGTTCTTTAAATTTGTAACAATGTATATAGTATTTTGACAAAAAAGGTTTTTAATTGATTTCATTTTTTTTTCATTTCACATATTTTAAAACTCTTTCTTAGTTTAGACTTTAACAAATCTGTATTTTCATCTATAAAATTTGTTTTTTAATGTTTCGAAAAATTTTGCTTAGTAATGCAGTCAGACCTGAAAGAAAATCGATATGGGACCTGACTCACATTGGGTACTTTTGCTGACACTGACATTAAAGAGGGAGTACTTCTGGTAACATATTATTTTACATAAGATGTTATCCTATATATAAAGGATATATGTGTGTGTCTAAATGTCTACATGCTTACTTATCTATGAAATCATGAAAGCTATAGAACCTCATAACAGATTATTTGGACCTTTGCACTTATTGATTCCTGTCTTATTCACATAACTAAGAAATCTTTTACAAGTTGACACAGTTAGAATACAAACCATGTCCAACTCTGCATTCAGTTACAAATCTGTATTTGGACTGTACTGTATTTCCTCTATCATATTCCAAATGTGATTACCATGCTATGTCCACTATTATTAATAAGACATGTGTTCCAAGTTTGGTCTCTTACATATATTTGAATAGTATTTTAAACTCCTATAATGCTCAACTTCAGAATGGCATTGTTCTAACATACTGTATGACAAACAGGCAGATGGATTTTGCATCTTTGTTCTATTCTTTTTCATTTGCCCCTTATCCAGGCAAAGTCTGAATAAAATCATCATTATGCCAAATCATAGTCTGATGCAGAACCTATATAGGCAAAATGCATACCTGAAGAGAAGTGACTGTGTAAATCAAGA